TCTGTTAGACTCACTTAAATATTTTAGCTACCAGATAAGTATGAAAACGATTTTAGTATTCATAGTATTTTATGTATAACATTAAATAATGTCTCATAACATTTCTATAAGAAATTACTCATTATATGTTGTACAGACCGACGAGATGAAGGAAGAGCTGATATCACTCTTCGCGAGCAACATCACGATGCAGGTGGCGTCGAGTACCGTCCTCACGGCGGTGCACCTAAGTTTTATCGCGTCACTCGGCGTTGCCGTTAATTCTTGTTTCATGTTGCCCACGCTTGGCTTCCTGCTGATGGTGTTCAACACAGGCCAGCAGTTCACCAACGAGGTTAGGCACTGAGCTAATACCCTGGCTTTCCTCCTGAGTGAGTTAATAAATTCTCTAACAATTGATGATATAACAAAGGTAGAACATTTTATTGCCACGTTGATCGTTTTATGTTCTGTATGATTTTTTGTAGCGATGATAACGTATTCAATATATATTCTTTTGTTGAAAAGTTATTGTACATAGGAATTTCATGCACGAAAGTATCATCACAATATTCTTTATTTTCCGGTATGTGGAAATAGTTTTAGTTATAGTTGTCCAATTTCGGCAGAACCAAAAGTCAGGACATTGAATGAGAAATATTTATATTTACGCAACATGTGCAGGTGAAAAACATAAGTGCCAGGATGACGAAGTTGAGCGTCAAATGGCCGCCGCTTATCAAGCTCTCGGTGAGGATGCAGCGAGAAATGAATAAAACACTTTGAAATTTAGTGAAACGATGGAAATCACAAACTCATATATGTCTGTTTATTCGACGATTTGCTTAATGCATTTCATTTATGGAGAATATAATTTATTGTGGCTTAGAACAGAACTTCTGTATGTCTCTGATTCTTTTCATATTTTGTGTTGGCCGCTAATTTCCAGAGATTCATAATAATCCATCAATGTCATTCGTAATATTAATGATACATAAATTCTTAAATCAGTTGAACGTGGTATCCTAGCTATTCAAATATTATAATTTTCTTGTTTGGTAATATTTGATAACAAACAATTACAAATTTTAATGATCGTTATGAGGTAAGTATATATTAATAACTGCAGGCGCATCGTGGGCTAAATTTGCCCCGTGCTGCCCTAAATTATTGGTAGCGACTCCTCTTCAAGTATTTATATTATTAATATGCTCAAATTGTTAACATTATTTTTAATCATGTTAAGCGTGTACGAGATAAAGATAAATGAATGTGTACAGGCACATCGGGTGCTGCTGCAGCTGAAGCGCATGGCAGACTTCAGCATCGGTGATGCGTACTCCCTGAAGCACAGCTCCCTCCTGGCCGTGAGCTTCACGAATACATTAGTAGCGATGAGCTTAAGGAAGCGAGAGGAAAATTCACACATGAAATGCTGTGAACTAAATTTCTGGGCTTAGTAATGGATATTATTGTGGTATAAAATTCAAGCATAAATAACGGAACATGTATAACTGTGTTTGTATAAAATGATTGGTTTCTTTTTTAATAGTGTGGTGCTATGTTGTAGAACGATGACAGTAACTCATATCTTACTCTTATACACCTCTGATTATTGGATGAGTAATATAAACTATAGTATTAGAAATACCCGCAATATATTTTTGCTTCTTTCTAAAGCAATAAGTTATTAAACTAAATTACCTATATCACAGAACTCACTGATTTAGCACAATTTATCCGCCAAATCAGCGTGTAAACTCTATGATATGTAAATCTTGGATATCCTGGAAAATATTACAAACTTATAAGAATATCGATCTACTCAGGTACTGAATGCGTGCGTAGGCTGGCTGGTGCTGTTAATGCAGTTCGAATCCACTCCCAGGGACGTGAATGACCTGAAGGAACCCACCAACAGCACCTATCCGTGATGGACCTAACCTCAATTACTAGACACTTATTCGGGATTATTTCGCGGATATTTTGGCACTATTTTGTTGTTGTTTTAATTATATAATATTTCATTATATATTTTTTGTGTTGAATCAATGATTCTCAATTGCAAATGGTTTCAGGTCAATTTAACTGTGCAAGATCAAGCCATTGCTTCAGCAACAACGATGTAATTCAGACATAAACTACACACTGCATTCTTTTTGTCGACAATTTACAAAGATAATGACCACTAATATAATGTCTCCTAAAGATTTGTTTACTATTTAATAGGAATGCTGTCGTATTGAAAACCAATTCCTTCCTTAATCCTTTTCCCGGTGAAATCAATGCAGGTATTTCAAAGATCGTAGAAACTAGACACTGGCTCTAGTGCAGGCATCGTTGTTCATCACTTATGAAATCAATTTAAATAAAATACAAATACATGTTCAACAGTTTTATTGATTGAACACATTCACCCAGGACACACAAACACATAACACAAACTTCCACTTTTCTCGTTCGCAGCTGCGGCCTGTAGTGTTTTTAAGAACATTATACGGAACAATATTATACGGAGCGTTCACAATATTATACGGACAAGTGAGCGCTCTGTATTTACCGTGTAGGCTCATCACTATTAACTCATCAGATAATTGAGCTACTCTAAAATATTTTCAATCGTATTCCTTGCGCAAATTCTAAGGAACTTCCTAAATGTCTATTAAGTTCTTGGAATGACTGCTATTTATTTGTGGGACGCATGTACAGAAATAAACTGTATCAATGTGACTTATCGCAAGAGATTCTGCCAATGTTTAATTCTTTAAATCAAATCATATACCATCAATAGAGAATCCACGACCTAATAGAGGAATTGGCGCAAACGATAAATATTGACCATACAATTCTTTTGCTACATTCAGGGGCATTCCTATAGTTAGCTATTATAAATAATCTTTCTTATCATGTATGGCTTTAAAGATGTATCGCAACAAAATGACCTACAATACTGCGAATACTAAATATCATGAAACTGAATGCATAATATAATATTTGACAAATTATTCATCACTAGTTGTATTCATCGTTACCAGTTACACAAACGTGTACAGGACCAGCAAACTAATGTTAATTGAAATAAAAATGAAAAAATAATTCTTTACATATAACATCAACGGACGGAGAATACTTTTCTTTTGTTCAATCACATTTCAATTAGTAATTAACTAATTACCTATTAACACTGTAATTAACAGAAGACGAAATCTTGGTTAATTTCATTGCAGTATTTTTTCAACTAAAATTATTAGAAACATTATTCATCGATATCTAAGGAGAACTGTCGGCAATTTACGCTACTTTCGTATCGTCACGAGCTTTCAGTGGATAATGCGCAGTTTAGTTCAAATTGAACTTTTCAATTGTTAAACAAATGAGGGCCAAGCGAGAAAATTTTATGATAATTATGCGTACTCAAAAATAAAATGTAAACATGGAAGTATAAGGGTAAACTGGGTCGAAAACGTTTTAGCTTTTCGACGCGACGTATTATAAAGTTTCCGGAAGTGAGACAATAATTTATGAAGAAATTGTAAAATATAGGAAAGAAAGATTGGATCCGAGGCTCATGGGTCATTCATTTTGCTTTCATAAACATTTTTCCAGCACTTCTTCCTTCACTATATGAAGTCTATACGTATGGACTTGGATTAACACGTTTAAAATTAAACTTAACTAGTAAATATTACTGCTACGTAATCCTGGCCTCGCTCGGGAGGTAGTGAGTCTTAATAGGTAGGTTAACCGAGCAGCAACCGAACCTGAACTAGTAAATTTCTATCAATGTTTTCCTATGACATATATCAAATAGATGGTAAAATTGATGTAATTCTTACGTAGGACCTCCGAACGAAAGTCTCTGAAAGCTGCCCCTGTTGTTTATTGGTCAGATAAGATACAGCGACGCAGATACCATGATACAATGACCGCTGTTAGACAGACACCAACACACACACTCACTATCTGATACACGTTTTAAATATAAAACGAATTAGTAATAACGCTTTTGAACCAAAATAACGCTTTGTTTAGCATGTACATCTAATTAAATTTCGAGTATGTAAATCATTTGGTCTGACTTTGAAAACGAGAATGCAATTTTTTGTACCCATCTCATGCCCATATTTCACGACGATTTATGTTATCACGACGATTTATGTTTACCACATCGATATAAACACTCATAAATAATAAAGTTGTATTGAGAGTTTCTTATTTCGTTTAAATTTTATCATCCATGATTATAATACACGCTAATTAGATTTGTGTACATATTGACATGTAAAACTTGACATATTTTGTCGTGTTTGTTTAGCAGGTTTTACTCAAGTAGACGCAGCAAATCTCATATTTTGATAATTAATAAGAATAATCTCACCACAAGCCGTCGACGTTGAACGGCCGTGCCTCTAAACTTGTCATAATTTAAACCACTAAAGTATATTATTTAAATAACACTATGAGCCTTCTCTTGGTTTATCATATCATACGTTAATCTACTAAGGAGGTCACAGGACATCAATTATCGGTGAACCTGCATGTAATTATGAATTATATTACATTTTCTACATAGCCTTAACGAGTCTCTAATTGAGTCATTAATTGCTATAGCATCTAATTAACTATAAGGTCATGTCACCAAACGACCACACTTTATGCTCGTATCTTCTTTACAAAGGCACTACCACTTGGTAAGAAATGGTTTAGACGCAGGCGCATACAATAGAATATTTACATGCAATGCTTCCACAACATCTGGTCAGATCCTTCAGACCCACTGGGAAACGAAAAAAATTTTGCTCTTTGAAAAAATTAACTTTCCTGGTAAATTCTAAACTAGAGGCTCTAATTGTGAGGAATTCTTTCTGACAGAAGTGAACTTTGGATGATGTGTTTGAATTTGAAGATGTGTTTCAAGCTTAGTGCCTAATGATTTGTTATTAGATTTGTTTCTATTTCAATTTAAGATTGTCAATCAAAATCTGGTGTTATTGATGTTCTGGTCACCGTATCCATTTCTCGCAATTCCATGTGTCAGTTCAATGTTTCAGTATCGCTTTCCTGTGTATGTCCAGTCTTCCCTTTAATATTTATTGTTATAACCTTGTTTCTTGTACCTTGTTTCTTCCCTATTTACCAGAATTAGATGGCTCTTTTTTCAACAAACTCTCCCTTATGTCGTCGTACCTGCACAGAGAAGAAAACAGATTGGTTATTTTATTAATGATGTCTCCTAGAGCACAAAACTTAACACTTGACATATTCATATTAACAAAACTTAACGACTTGACATATTCACGTAATGTGTGATCAAGTAAATAAGGACTATTTTTCTCACTCCGCTTCCAGCGAAAAATCTGTAGTTTAGAGTTCACAATGTTGATGTTAAGTGTTATTGCAACCCAGTATTTCAGTTACCCTTTCCGCTTGACAAAAATTATTACTTAGGACTAATCGAATTCCTAATTTCATGGTTAGTTCATAATAATTTTCTTATTATGAACTATTATTATGAACTTATTATATTATTATTATTTTCTTATTATTATCTTATTATGAACTTTTACTTATTTTCTTAGAGATTGACTGCAGATTGAAGCGTCGACGTAAATGCCGACAACTCATTACATAATTATGTAATAAAATATTCCATACGCTCATCCATAATAATAAAAGTGTATATGAATCAAATATATCTTATTCACTGGCAGGTGTATCCCAACTCACTGCTTGATCCTGCTCGGTATGCACACTTGCTCCATGGGGATGAGGGCGGACAGGTCCCGTAGACTGTCGACGAATCGCAGCTTGCGGGAGAATTTCGCGCTGGATCCAAAATAAAACGAAAATTTGCTTCTATTAACTGCATCTTAATTGCATTTATCAATAATTTTGGTAAATTAGTCGTTTAAATTACATCAAAAGTTTCAAATACAAGACCGGGAAATAACCGCAAGTTGACCCATGTGCTAATATTACATACATTATTATACGAATATTGTTTAGCATATCCTAGACTCACTTAAACTTTGTAATAAATCTCCTGGCACTCGAATAATTACCGTAGAGTAATTATCACCCATGTGCCTCTTTTATAGCTTGATTCATTACCTCCTGAGGTTTTCGTGTGCGATTTCATTTTTTTCGCATATAATTATAAATGAATGCATGAATTCATGAATTGGTCGTTGACTCACTATTGTAACAGAATGATTACATAGCGTACATTACATATAATTCACTGACATAGAGCAGCTGGCAGACATAATGGACAGTAATGAGATTTTTAGACGATATCGACGTTTTAAAGGCTATCAAGATAAGGTCGATATTAGGTCGTAGGATCGATACTCAAGTATCGATCCTGCGAAATCAAATTGGGTCTCACCCCCACACGAGCAATGGCTTAGGTTGAGATGTTTTGACTGAAACCGCTGTTCATGCTGGTATATGCAAAGCATTCCGTACATGAGACAGGTCATTGATTACGTACGTGTGGTGACGTCGCAGGTTTCGTGCGTGTACACTGTTAGAAAAATCACCGTTAAAGTGGCGGGCCAGCCGGAACGTGAAAAGAAACACCGCATGACCGTTTTTATTCAAATTTAACACTAGAAACCTGTACAACATCTGAAAAAAGTATAAACGGTCTATTTTCACTTGACGTCCAGCCGCTAGAACGCCGGTGAGACCGTTTTTTACCGTTTTTTCCAACATAGAGACGTGCAGGTTCTCTCTTAGTGCCCGGTCCTAGCGTGAGAAATGTTTGAGTATATATACTATAAATATATACATTTATATATTTATATACTGACCTCACAAAGGGCCTGATCATTACGACGACAGTCTTAACCCAGAAGGTTGGATGCACGAGGTAGAGCGCCTGTAGGTTCTTCCTCAGTCGCCGGTCTATCATTTGATAGCATCGCTGAAACAGAGAAACCTCGTCATCGCCATTTTTATGTTATCATTTATAAAAAACTGACAGCAAACCATCACAAAATTAGTTGCGCATGTATTGCTGATATCAAGTGTAATTATTATTAATCTTACGTTATGTTTAAAAATTGAAACTTGTTAAAAAACGTAATTGTATCGCTAAAAAATATTATTCAATTTAATTTGTAACAAGATATGAATAAAGTTGATTGTATATTTTGACTTAAGCTTTACTGTTTCACTAGATAAATTCTTGGTCTAGGATATTGTGTGGATATTCCAGGATATTCTGAGGATATTCCACGATATTGTTCGGATATTCCAGAATATTGCGAAGATATTCTGGGACATTGTTTGGATATTACAGAATATTGTGTGGGTATCCCAGAATATTGTTTGGATATTACAGAATATTGTTTGGATATTACAGAATATTGCGTGGATATTCCAGAATATTGTTTGGATATTACAGAATACTGTATGGATATAACAGAATATCGCGTGGATGTAGACCTTGAGCCAGCTGAAGGAAGGCATGTTGGCGCGCGTGGTGGCACCGTGCAGGTAGACCAGCACGTAGTCTTCAGCGATCAACTGGTCTAGCGCCGTCAACACATACCTGCGCCGTATATACTTTAATAATCAATCCCTTCATCATAATTAAGTAATATAGCAGATGAATTTAATATTAAAATAACATTGTACATTTAAAAAAATTAATCGCGTAATCTTCATTTATTATTTAATCGAATTAATTTCCACTTAAAATTACATTTTAGTTGAAGAATCTAAATATAAATCAGATGAATATATTGTTAAAATAACATTTTATTCTTATAAAATCAATCAGGTAATCTTCATTTAATATTCAATCAGATTAATTTCGATTAAAATTACATTTTATGGCAATTTCTGAGCATATATCATAAATAAGAATAATTTTTAAGGTTAAAATGACATTATATTAAAAAAATAAATCGGGTAATCTTCATTTAATATTTAATTGAACTAATTTAAAGTTAAAATTGCATTCTATCGGAATTGCCATGCATCCATTTCGTTGGAACCACGTTATGCAAATGTGCAAATTTATGAATTGTATGAAATTAAGGTTAAAAGCTATTGCCAGACTAAGCTCCGATTTTTTCAATACTAATAATAGCGATAAAAAAGTATAATAAACATGATAACAACAACCACAAAGATGATGATTTTTCGAATGATGAAATTTTATGACTTACCTAAAAACTGAATTAACTATTAGTTAAATGATCATCACAGCACATCATGCAATCAATGTCACGATCTTCATCTCATAGATTGTACACCGCCTATTGTGTAATTAAGAAATAATTTTTTTTTAACCGCAAAGGCATGAATAATGTCAGGCATGAATAAAGTTAATCCTGAATGATGTGAGTGATGAATAATGTCAGTCATGAATAATGTCAGTCATGAATAATGTCAGTCATGAATAATGTCAGTCACGAATAAAGCTAATCATGAATAAAGTTAATCATGAATAAAATTAATCATGAATAAAGTTAGTCATGAATAAAGTTAGTCATGAATAAAATTAATCATGCATAAAGTTAGTCATGAATAAAGTTAGTCATGAATAAAATTAATCATGAATAAAGTTAGTCATGAATAAAGTTAGTCATGAATGACATGAGTGCTGGGACCCCACATGAAGAGATGGTCCATGACGTAGTCGTAGTCATGACGTGCTCGGTCAGGCAGGAAGCAGGCCGAGAAGACGATGATCGCTTCACCGCTCGTCAGATGCCCGCCATGACTCAGCACTTTTTTATACGGCTCGATGACCTGTTGAATAAATTCTTTGAGAGATGCAAGGGAGCTAGTAAGTAGTAGAATTAGGTTAGGTGATAGGAACAGATGAATTGTTTGGAACTTTTGAACCTTCTAATTTTTTATACGGCTCGATGACCTGTTGAATAAATTCTTTCAGAGATGCGAGGGAGATAGTAAGGATTAGAAATAGGTTAGGTGATAAGAACAGATGAATTGTTTGGAACTTTTGAACCTTCTAATTTTTTATATGGCTCTATTACCTGTTGTATAAATTTTTTGAGAGATGCGAGGGAGATAGTAAGTATTAGAATTAGGTTGGGTTATGAGAGTAAGTGAATTATTGGAAACTTTTACCATTTGTTTCCAAAAAGATTATGTTCAACCTTCATTAAAGGCTGCATCCATATATAGTCCGATTAATTAGGGTTTAAAAATTAAAGATTATTAATACCATAGAAGGGAATAGCCTGTGAACATGGGATTCTGATATAAAATGATGAATTAAAAAATCTGTTGGTATCTTTGGCCGTATCATTGCGTTATTTTTCAATAAAAAAAATTATACATTCGGCGCTTTAACATATCACTAGAAGGTAATAATAATAAGGAAGGTTCATTACATTTATATTAAAGCAAAATAACACTCATATTAATTCAGTAATATAGGAAACTTTATAAAAAATATAACTCAGTACTCACTGCAGTGAGTGACAGAGAGCGCATTTTCTCGTCGACGAAAACGTAGTCACGGACGGACGGACAAACGGACGGACATGACGAGCACAATAGCGTCTTTTTTCCATAAATGTGAAAATGCACTAGAATTACCTGCATGTCTATCCTGCGCTCGATGCCCTGGATGACGACAGCGCGGAAAGAGGCGCTGTCGTCCGGCGCAGCGCCGCCCCCTCGGCCCGGATGGTCCGGGCTGTTGGGGCCAAGTCCTGCACCGACAAAGTAACAGAAATTTTCGGCTAAAAATTCTCGTGTTGGAAACTTTTCATTCACATTCACCAAGGCAATTGTTATCCAGGTAGCCGAGAGTTTTCGGCTAAAAATTGTCATGGTGAAAAATTTTCATTCACATTCACTAAGGCAATTATTATCCGGGTAAAGTCCCGAGAGTTTTCGGCTAAAAATTTTCATGGTGAAAAATTTTCATTCACATTCACTAAGGCAATTGTTATCCAGGTAAAACCCCGAGAGTTTGTGCAGATCATGCTTCTGCACCTTACGTGATGGATTGTAAATTATCCAAATGTTTACATAATCATATATTGAATGTAAGGATTAGTAAAATGACGCTACTCACTCTCCATGATTGACTCCTCAAGCTCGTCCGGCGTGTTGATGTCGTCAGGGGTGAGCATTTCATTCAGGTGCTCTTGAGACAACATTTGTGCAACGTCATCGCCTTCATCATTGTCGTCAAGGGACGATAGAGACTCATGATCGTCTTCGAAGTTGTCATTTGGTGACGTAGAGTCTCTGACGGAGAGCTTCTTACGTCTGCCTTGTGTTCTCGAGTCCAAGTTGTTGTACGTCTTCGGCTCCTGCTGACCACTACCTGCATTCAAATAAATGTGAAGACTTTGTCAGAATAGCTATACATTTCTTTCATTTGTGTGGGTCATCTTAAACAAATTTTGCCCGGCAAAAGATGTATCAGCACTACGTCCAAAAAGTGAGTTATTAACTTATTATTTGGAAAATATAACCCATTAATTCCTCTGAATGTGATTACTTGGACTTGCGAGTGTCACATCTGTTTCCTAAAATAGTTTACAGAAAGTACAAATAAAATAAGATTGGTGTAGTTCGGCAGAAGCTTTTCTTTTATGCAAGTTTGAGCAGAGCATGCTTTTTATTAATAATCTTCTTGTTATGGTCTTCAATCAAACTTGCACAAAATAAAATGTATACATTCGTTAAAATTCTGTTTCCTGACCACCATCACTACTTCCCGCACCTGAGGCAGATGGGACGGTCTTCCTCATGGCGACGAGACCATCAGGTGGAGACGCCACAGCGGAGTAGACGCAATCATTCTCTCCACATGGCGACACAATTCCCCCCTCCTCCTCCTCCTCTGCTAACCTCAAGCCGCTCGCTGAAGCCCTCAAGGCTCCCGGGGAGCTCGGGAAATCAACTAAAAGATGTAACTCAACTGAAGCTCAAAGCTCAAATATTTTACTACATGATTCTTGACTTACCAGAAATTGTACTCTGTATTCAAATTCAAATTGAAAATTATTTTCCATTAATAATCATGGCTTCTTTGCAGATATTCCGCATAACGGACTAATAATGTACAATAATTTACGACATATATGTATATAAAAAGTCGACTTGTACAAGTAGTCGACTAGTAGTCGACTAGTAGTAGTCGATCAGCAAGAAAAAAAATAACTAATCGCAGAGATACTGAGATCAGTGGGATAAGTAAAGTGCAGTGTATTGCATCGAGATACGTAACTCACCAGGTTCTGGCTCATAAACTGTAGACTCGGGTAGAGAAAAGTCAAGGCTGTGGAGAGGGAAGGACATCTTGTTTCTCTCAAGTCGATGCTGAGAACTTATAAAGCCACTGTGATCGACGGAAGGTGCGGGCGTTTTGGGGAGTCTCTTTTTCTCCTTGCTATTAATGTCGCTGGGATTAAATTTCCATTCAGAAGAATCATCATCGCATGGACTACAGGTCTTCATCGATAAATCATTGAAATGTTGCTGAATAAAGTCTGGAGAAACGGTGGAGTCGTTCAGATCCACGGTCTCGAGATCCTTGGTTTCCAGCAAGGCATTGGTTAGACTAGAAGCAAATTCAGCGACGGAATCTTGAGGTTTGTTAATAGACGTATGTTTTTGAGGCACTTGATTATTAATAAGTTTTGTTATAGGTGGTCTTTCCCTCCGAGTTCTTGCAACTTCTTGCTTAGACCTGTCAGAAGACCAACTTCCCAAGTCTGAAGGTTGTCTCTTAGACACTCCGCCGCTTTTTCCACTACTCGAATTGATGTTCAGAACCGTGACGTTTGACGGGTCGGTAGAAGAGGAGGAAACTTCTCCCAGTGGAGACAAAATTGAAGTTGAAGACTGAAGAGGTAGATTTGTTACCGCTTTCAATGATCTTTGAGTGAGTATTGAAGAGGAGGAGTTAGGAGACTTCTCTTCTCTTATGCTCAGCTCTTCCTCATCTATGCTAGACAAGCCTCCGGTGGTTGGCAATAATTCACCATTCTGCAGAAATGGCAATAAAAACGAATTATTTAATTTGACAGAATCTCCCGCATAATCATGGAGAGATTGTTGAATCTGTAGTCGGATCGGTGCTGCTTAATTTGGCCGTACGGTTCGACCTGAAATTCTTTATTTTGAACTAATATTCACCTTCGTGAATCATCACTATGAAGGTTTCTTTTGTACTAAGCTCTTTACTTCACGTGGAGTCCCATACAATTGGTGTTCTCTTTCATATATTTACGTTATTTATAGCGTGTTTCAACTTATTTCAATTTAGTCCTATGATAATGAAATATCTGTATTGGAGTATTCATATCCGTTTTGATAGGAATTTTGACAGATCTTAATAAGGTGTTTATTTTGGATTCCGATTTGAAAGTTAGGTGGCTGCTATTTGAAAGAATTTGCTGTGACCCATGAAAACATGACAATGATTTATATAGAAACTATATAATTTTCACTCGCAAAAAATTAAATCAATTTTAAATACAGAGACTGAATCTTTCTATAAAATAGAAAGATTCCGTTTCTTCTTTGGTTGTGTGGAAGGTAGTGGCTGAAAAGGGCGGATCGAGATCGGCATGATTGATGCCGGGAAGGGATTGGCGGGGCTGAGATGTTGGAAGCCTCAAAATCCTCGACAAGTTTGGCAGCCAAAAACCGTCTCAAACAATAAAGAAGCTCTCTAAAAACTCCTAAAACCGACTTATTCTTCTTTTTATTGGTACATCAGTTCGAATCAACCAAGATTTTAAATTATCTAGTTGAAAATGAAAATTCATGCTTCAGTATTTCAGATTATGGGATGAAAATCGGAATTTAATTGCAATTTGTTGATACTTCTCTTGTTCTGATATAGATTTATTAACCTGATTCTTGAAACTGATATTATTCATAAGCTTGTGATTTAAAGCAAGGATGTTTACTCACGTGAACGGGATAGCGGAGTGGATCCATTACTCCTGTAGGACCTGCAGAACCACGGAGTGCACCCGAGTCCTGAGGTGGCAGATACATGGTCTTCTCTGTAGGTATTTTCGGATGGTTTCCCTTGGTTGTATTTGTCTTATGGTCTTCTCTAATGGTATCTTTTAGTGGTATTTGTATTTTGGTCTTCTCTGCAGGTATTCTCGGATGGTATCCTCTGGTGGTATTTGTCTTTAAAATATGGTCTTCTCTGCTGGTATTTTCGGATGGTATCTTCAGGTGGTATTTGTCTTTTGGTCTTCTCTGCTGGTATTTTCGGATGGTTTCCCTTGGTAGTATTTGTCTTTTGGTCTTCTCTAATGGTATCTTTTAGTGGTATTTGTATTTTGGTCTTCTTAGCAGGTATTTTCGGGTGGTATCCTCTGGTGGTATTTGTCTTTTGGTCTTCTCTGCTGGTATTCTCGGGTGGTATCCACTGGTGGTATTTGTATTTTGGTCTTCTTAGCAGGTATTTTCGGGTGGTATCCTCTGGTGGTATTTGTCTTTTGGTCTTTTCTGCTGGTATTCTCGGGTGGTATCCTCTGGTGGTATTTGTATTTTGGTCTTCTCTGCAGGTATTCTCGTATGGTATCCTCGGATGGGATTTGTCCTTTAGTCTTCTCTATAAGTGTTCTCGAGTGGTATCTTCTGCAGGGACTTATATTTTGGTCTTTTCTGCCGGTATTCTCGGATGGTATCCCCGGATGGGATTTGTCTTTTGGTTTTCTCTCTAGCCTCTCGTGCTGGTATTCTCTAATGGTCTTATCTGCTACACCTCGAGAGGTCTTCTCAGCTAATCTTCTTTGTTAGATTTATCAAGTTGTGAAGTTTACCACAAGCCTGCACGATTATAAGTAATTAGTAAGATTGAAAATGATATTTAACTTAAATAGCATTCATCATCATAGTTCATGTACTAGGCAAAATACAATATAATGTTTACTATTATTGAAACTCGTAAAAATAGCTGCATAAAAGTAGCAAGCAGGATTTACACATTTAAGACACATTTCGAGAAAAGTCTCTTTGCCAAATTTGAGATGATCGAGATACGTTCGAATTGAAATCATTCATATATTCGCATTTGCATATTATTTTTCGGTTAGAAGCGAGCCTAACTGCCGCTCTGAATGATCGAATCTCTCCTAACGCAGATTCCAGCGTATTGATAAGTGTTCTCTTCTAAAAATTTTTATGCTCATTTATTCGTTGAAAGGTTTTTATGTAATTATATTTTGTTTGTGAGAATCACTTTCCTTCTCACAAATGTCGATGACACTAATATTGCATGACACTAGGTTTAATTTTCATAATTTCTCTATATAAATATATTCCTATTTACTAACCAAAAAAACTTGCTGAAACAACATCATATCTGTAATAAATTCAGGTTTCAAGCCCCGTGCCAAGAATAGGGTAGGACTTGAAAGGTTTTGTCATAAATAGCAATCGAACCCACGCCTTGAGTTTCAAATCCGGCCTGAATCCGGCCTCCGGCCTTAGACCACCCGGCCCCCCGAGACCGAGCTTCTATAATGCTGATTAGAAGTTTTTCTCGTCATGGAGCTAAAAATGAAGATATAGCGCCTTCAATTTCTACAATATTCCACCGTCCTGAAATGTGAAAGGCTTTAAAATAAAATCTATCGAGCCGAGCTAGTGCGAGTTATTAGCATTCTGCCTCAATCCAGTCGAAGATTGATTTGGAAAAAAATAATCTTGAAGCTTTAACTTTCCTGTCCTCGTCGATGGTTGGACTTTTAATTCATAGTGTGCTCAGTGTAAGATACTTCGCTGTAAACTATGCTTAGCTAAAAAGTGACAAAACATTTAGCAGAACATAACTTCGCTTGGAGAGAATAAGTTTCTTCAACCGCACGATGTGCTATCGTTAACGTCTCCTCATCCCGGTTCTTGCTTTCTTGTTTCGATAATTATAAAATTAAATTTAAACCGAACTGCATGACATTTTTCCTCGAAACTAATTTAAAAGCACCGGAAATACAAGTTTCATCGTCATATATAGTTTATTTTTGTTGCAGGGTATACGTTAGACGTTGCTACCTGATACGTGTTTGCATGCGCCCATCTTTTCGTGAATATAAAATGGATATTTTCTCGGCACGTTGATTTTTCTAACATCTGCACATTGATTTTATTAACCTTGGAATCCTTATTTTCTTAACCTTGGTATCCTGATTTTCCTAACCTCGGCATCCTTTAAGATTGCGACTCCCAAATGACACTGCGTAGAACGCTTATCAACCTCATTTAAATGATACTGACTCGCGCCACATTTACTGCACTCTTGCTTCAAATCCTTACAAGATACACGACAGCTTTTTAATAAAACGAATATTTTATTTGTACGAAAATAAAACTAGATTGTATGCCGCCCTGACACTAGCTCATTGCGCCGCCCTCGTTTCCCCTCACGTTTATGACATTCCCTCGCCCGAGATTGTCATGGCAATGCGCATTTGTCGAGCAGAATGCATTCCTTTCCGTTGTCCGTACATTTAATGGTCAAAAAACCTAAATATATACATTTTTATCATGCACTCTGTGGTCAACGTTCAGTTCTGTTACATGATTAATATTTTTTGTCTGCACTCACGAAGGATATAAATTTATGCCCTATGATGGATATAAATATGCATTCTATTGGCATCAACCCTGGCATGCGTTCTCAAATATTGCGCTCGTTATGTTTTACTTCGGCCGTGTGTCTGACTGGGTGATTTACGATACCACAATGAATTTAGAGGACAAAATGAGCGAAGCATATCGTTAATTATAAGGTCGTATATTTCGTTAATTACTTGGTATATATCGTTGAAAACAACATCCTATATGTCGTTAAGTACAAGATCGTTTATATGTACCGACATTCATATTAAAAACTAATTCTGTCGATTGTGGACATTGAATTAGAACATTAACGATGAGGAAACTTACGATCATCATACGATGATGAGTACACGACCTCGAATGTAACACAATACATTCGCACGGCGCAGATATTTTCCTATAAATGATTTAAAATTTCTTGATGTGTTATTATCCATTGAAAAGATATTCTACATTAACATTGTTATTGGTCATTTTCCGAACACAAGCGACTACGTTGACCGATTAATATATTTCAAATCAATGGCCTATATTATTCCTAATTATGGAACGGAAACATATTTAATATGTCCGTATTTAATATTTGTAAATAATAATTGCTCTGTATAAAGACCGGCATGTTCATTTCGCTCTGCCTCAAGTTTCGCTAAGTTCATAAATTAAGAGTGAGATTAATTAAATGTAAGCTTTTAGTTATTATTAGTGCGCAACTGCCAATGTACTTACATACTTAACTTGAAAGCTAAAACTAAAAAGGCCATGAACCACTTATAACCGTCGTAACCAGCTTAGACGAGCAGTAAAAAGACTTAATAGGCTACAACTAGAACGGAAATGAACAACATACGAGGATAGTCATTACAAGCCAGGGCCATCGTTAAGACGTATTGTATCCGAGTGAATAATAAAGCATTATTTTGCTATCTGCATTTTTATGAAAGTATCTGAAGAGCAGAAATTTTGCTCAACGAGTATATCTCTCACCTCTCATCAGCTGATCGTGATACGCCGCCCCAGAGGCAGCCTTACAACACATCAACGATTGCGCTTGTCGTTCAACTCACATGCGTTAATGGCATATTCTCTTTAAAATGGCACACATGTTTTAAAAATACCACACAAAATTGTATCACATAATTTTGCCAAATTTTTAGTAATTACGAGTATCTTCGTAACTTGCCTACATGAACGGACTACAGTAGATATGACACTTGGCCTTGAAGATGCGAATGTTTCGTGCTTATAGTTGTTAGTATATGAACTGAAAGTCAGTCGATTCGCTGACATTGTAATAAAATTATTAAATGAAATATTTTTCACATGTTTCACCGCATGTACATGTAAATGTGAGCTTGTTTTGACACGTTGTAGGTGGAAGAAGCAGAGCTGCACTGTAACCTCCTCCAGTTCCAGTGATGCACTGAATGCCTGCCTCTGGGTCCCGGTTACCTTCCCTCGCCGCCCTCGCGCAATCGATGCTCGGCGCACCAGCTACGCATTCATCTTTTATTGACGGCTCAATTGTGCCGTGACTCATTTAATGAAATTTCATGGGCTGTGCAGCATGGCGAATGAAAATATAAAACTCGACTACTATCCTGAAAGTTTCGAGTTTGTGCCATTTCTCCAACGTGAGCCTTTGGTTCAAACATTTGCAATATTTACGTCCTAAAGCAATTTCATCAATTGTACTGCTCAGTGTTCAGTATTCATGGTACTTTCTTTACTCGTTGATAAATTTAAACATTTTTATCTCTTTTTGTCAGCCTAGTTCATTTGCACTGCAGGAATGTGCAAACATTCATCTAATTAAAGAAGTTTTCAGATTAAACGTTTTAGCGGAAACAATTTTCCGACGCGTACATGTCAAAAATGTCCACGGTGTTCAGCGCCAGCATTTCAGTATCTCAGATACATAGAGTTAGGAAAAAATTTCTTCATTATCCTTCGTCTTGTTCTTCATTGCCACTCCAACATTAAATCTAGAGGAGCGCTATAGCAAAATATTAAGTGACATTTGAAATATTTCAGGTAAGAATAATTATTTCGGTGCTGAAAAAGACAAAGACTATTTTAAAATATATATTTCACAAAGCCACATTTTTGCATGGAAATAGTGAAAGAATCCAAACCCATTCTACAATTTATATGCAAATTTCCTGTAATATATGAATGAGCAGTATTCTAGGCGGAAGTTTAAAGATAAATACAAAAATGCAAAAATTTCACTGGCATCGTGCACGCACCATCGGGAAGCGCAGAAATAGTTTCAAATCAATTTCTAATTTTATATTTCTTACATGATTACATGTCATATCACAGATTGATATACCTGGGAAATAATTTGATTACATCAGGTATCCAATATGAATACCTTCTCAGTGATATTAAAGTATATTTAAACTGCCATAGAGATAGGATTTGATAAATTGATGTATTTAGCCTTTTTAGCGCATTTTCTCATTCATGGAAAAAATGCACTATTGTGCTCGCCATGTCCGTCTGTCCGTCTGAGAAAATGCTCTCTCTGTCACTCACTGCAGTGAGTACTGACTTATATTTTTTAGACTTCCAGCACGCCCTTGTGATGATGTTGCTACTTCTTTATAGAACATCCATTAGAAATTGGTTGAGTTGTGGCTACTGAACAGAAATTCAGCCATTTTCCTTTAGAAACACTGTATTTGAGGGCACCATTGTAGGGGAAGCTCCTGACTTATACTTACCTACTTAACTTATAACTAAAGTATGACCGTATAATAGATATTGTGTACAAATTATCACGAATACTCAGCACATAAGTGCCCTTTGTGGTTAAGAACAGCCTGATTATAGCATGGAGTTGTGGGTTCGAGACCCAGCTGATTATGAAAATTCTGTAACGTGTATCTTCGATGAATGCCAGAAATTAGGGATTTTCAACGCATTCACCTCTACGTATACAGTAGTTGTCCTAGTTTCGTATTGGTATTAAAATCTACATATATTTATATATAATAAAAACTTTATTAAGCCTTCTTTGTTTATTACTTCCATATTTTTTTCGCCTTAAATCAATCTTCAATTTTCATTGACTTTACTACTGAATCATTCAGGAAAGAAGTTCTTCATATGAAGCGCGCGATGCGAGGAATGAGTACTTTTAAATTTTCACGCATTGAATGTGGAGCTAAAATTTGAACTGTTAACTATATCGCCTTATTTTGAATAACAGCATCAAATTTGCGAGATGTTCCGGATAATGCATTTTTATGACATTTACTTTCAAGTGCGTGCTAGAACAGTAAAAATTTTATAAATAATAATACTTCTAATGATAATATTTTTATTGATTCATTCGCTTCATCGTTACGTGTCGATGTATAGCTATGGCTAGAAAATTCACGGCTTTTGAGGCGGAAACTTGATTTTCAAGCCTAATTTTTGAACTTGAGAAAGCGTGCAGCACACTGCGCCTAACGCTCGTTATTCTGCTACTTTTCAGTGCACAAAGAGAGTCTTTAATTATTTATTATATCTAGTTTTCAACATAGTTTTATTATGGTCACTTATTATCAATAATCAAGGTTACATGCTGTGAAAATTAATTAATTCTGGTGACGTACGAGATTATCACTCGGGTGTGACGATATATTTGTTAACTTATCCATCTTCGCAGTAAAAACTTGCATTTCCACTTTTAACTATTGAAAGAAAAAATATAACTCAGTACTCACTGCAGTGAGTGACAGAGAGCGCATTTTCTCGTCGACGAAAACGTGAAGTCACGGACGGACGGGCAGACAGACAGACGGACATGGCGAGCACAATAGTGCATTTTTTCCATAAATGAGAAAATGCGCTAAAAATGCCATGCAATATCAATATTTAATCTCCGACCTCTGACGGTTATTTGTTCGGTATAGTTGAACAATCCATGAGTTTATTTAATATTTAACCCTAAAGATTGTCTTCTCGCTGTGCAGGATGACTGCAGGTTTGCTGTTCTGTGCTTGGTGATCATAGATATTGAATGTATAAAATGTAAACATATTTTTCATGCATGTAAGTCGCTATATCAGCAAAAGGGAATCCCATGAAAACAAGGCACGTGAGGCTCTCATCACAAGCGTTATCTCTATTATAAAGCCTTGTATCTGAAGGGTTTGACTCGAACTTAGCACGGACCCTTTCGATCGGTAATTCTTCATTCTTTTGGCCACCCGTGAACTTTGTCATGCTCGGTGTTATTTTTTAGCGCATTTTCTCATTTATGGAAAAATGCACTATTGTGCTCGTCATGTCCGTCCGTCCGTCCGTGACTTCACGTTTTCGTCGATGAGAAAATGCGCTCTCTGTCACTCACTGCAGTGAGTACTGAGCTATATTTTTTATAATGTATCTGTAATACCGGATTAACATCTTCCTTGTCGGACGATAAGAAATAAATTTTTTAAGCGTACATACTGTGACCACACAATATGTCTCATTTTCTCGCATTACTTTAATGATTTTCTGCCCGCCTTGTCTGTGATAAATTTATCGTTTTCAACAAGCAAAGTTGAATCTAAATGTATAGTCATCAAACTTTCACAGTATTATAAAATGTTAATCCGCCATTTTATATGCAGATGATGCATCTTGCGCGCCATTCGGAAGCCTGGGTTAAATCCCCTCAAAGTATGGTTTGGAATTCACATGAAATTAATTTTTATAGCATTTTCTCATTTATGGAAAAAATATAACTCGGTACTCACCGTAGTGAGTGACAGAGAGCGTATTTTCTCGTCGACGAAGTCGTGGTCACGGACGGACGGACGGACAGACAGACAGACGGACAGACAGACGGACGGACATGACGAGCACAATAGCGCCTTTTTTCCATAAATGAGAAAATGCGCTAAAAAGGCGCTGTTGTGCTCGTCATGTCCGTCCGTCCGTCCGTCTGTCCGTCCGTGACTTCACATTTTCGTCGATTTTGAGAAAATGCGCTCTCTGTCACTCACTGCAGCGAGTACTGATCTAATTTTTTAAAAAGTGTTCGGTTTCAATCAATTCGCGCAGAACATAATGCCATGTTTTCCGTGACTTATCTGTGAGGCCAGCGTACGCCAACAACTGACCTTTATCTCTCGCGAACAGCCATCAATACTGATAAGAGATTATACGGCAATTCATTTTTATTTTTGACGTTCATATCATCCACAGTAGTGGTCATCCTGACATCGTTTCACCAGCAGTGTGCGTCTGGCAAACATATGCAATTTTTACTCAGAGATGTGCCTCTCTTTTGCGAATCCGAGTTTCGTTAATAAATGTGCAGTGATGGTTAAGATATTGGTGTCACTGTTTAAACAATGTATTGGTCAATACCACACATTTTGTGGTAGCTGCACAGAAATTTCAAAGTAGTGGCATGTTGCGAGAATAATTTCATGGCTTATAATGAATCGAGTATGACCGACAATTTGAGAAATTGAAGACCACGGCCAGTTTTTATTGATGAACGCTTATTAATCGTGAAATAATTTTTCCATTGTTTATTTCTAGCTTGGATGGATCTTTGCAACGTCTGAATCATTTATCAATTTATAATTTTACTCTCGTCACAATTGATAAACTATTCTGGGTTTTATTCCAATGCAACTTCTTGATTAATTTCAGATCAGCTTGGCTGTTTTGTACATTCTAGTTAGAAAACAAAGATCCATTAGCTGGGCTGTCAATTTCATGTATACGCTGCTGCGCTGACGTTCTGCAAAAAAATTCTTTTTATTTAACTTGGATACAAACTACATAATTTGATTTCACCTTGTCAATAATTTCCAAATTACTTTCAAGAAACTACAGAACTTGAGATACTTATCACCGTCCACAAGATCATGGGCCATTCTCTGCAAAAGGTATTGCGTTACGTACATATGTATTTATATGCAACACTAAAACTAAATAAAGTTAAAAAAAATGCAAACTAAATAATTAAAGCGGTCTTGATTATAGAACCACTAGACATTTGTCAGATGACACTAAAATCAATCACAAAACTTTTAATTGCTTTAGAAACTTTTTGAAAATTTGACTGCTTTGAATAATCCTATCTGGAACTTTAACGCGTGTGCTCCATTTAAATAGTGTTCTAAAATCGCACTATATTATAAATATAAATTGGTTGTCTTCAAAAGTATGATAGTGAATAGTGCGAATTCTCCAGAGATTTTTGTAATATATAAGTCTGTTTGAAAGTTTTCCATTTTCCTTTCACTTGGTGTAGATAGTTTGAAATGCAATAAAAAATTTCTAAATCAATCGATATATCAAAAAACATATTTCATAACCTTGATACTCAGCGCATCACGATTCACTCATAATGACGAACGAATGATCGATTAAATTATTAATTTCACACAATGAAAGCAGGATTATTGCTGGAACTCGATGCCGGTAAGTTTACTCGGCAACAATTAAGCTGACAGCAGAAGACTCAACATTGTATGAAATTCATTATTGGCAGCGGAGTTTTTCAATAATGAAATTCATTATTGCAGCGGAGTTTTTGTACAGCTCGCTGGCAGAAAAATCACGATCATTCTCCACGCTACCGTTGAAGAGACGATGAATGTGTTAGAATTAATTTTATTTCATTCACGTTTCTATTCATTTTTAATTCATTCACTTCCCATTGGCAATAGGCCCATCATGTGCCGGGCATTATCGACGAGAAATATTAGGTAATATATTATATTGTAATATAATATATTACAAGATTTAATAGTCCGCTTTTGACCCTGGAGCCACTGAGTTGCTACGTACACGGTATGTAGCGATCCTAAAAATTCACTTCAATAATGTAGGAGTGCGTGCTCATCATGACGTCATGTTTACCTTCATTTTCCACGTCGTGCATTTGAACCAAAAAAAACATCGTAGAGTCAGCGATAGCATGAAAGACGGTCGAGGGTCGAAGTCCGTCAGGCGGGAGACGGGAAGCGATTAGCTGTTGAAAATAATTTAAATTCCGTTCATAGAAGCAAATATTCTGGTCTTTTTCTGATTAGTTAGCTAAGAAATGATAACATTTATAATTAGTTATTATAATGATTAGTTAACAAATGATTTGTTCTGATAACAAATATACAAAAAGAAGTGTCGATTTTACGAATTTCATAGAACGTAGTCGTATATGGTCGGTATAAAATTTCCGGCAACGCTCGGGTTCCGTCAAATCTACTTCATAACGATTCCATGTGATAGGATTATATATATAATGTTAAACTATAATGTTAACTTGATCGCGTTAAATTTCTCAACCCTGTAACCAATAATACTGCATCAATAAGTTCTCTCATCTCCTATTTTCTTCATTTATCCCTGCAGAAGTTGCAGTTAAACAAATTTCTACTGGTATTGGTGCTGGTCGGCTTCGCTCTCATCACGACGTACAGCTTTCTGCTCCATGAGAATGTGTACGAATTTGATAGTTAAAATATTTGTCTTGATTACCTTTTGCGCTTGAGTTCAGCCACGTCGAAAGACCAGGGAACACAGCGTACTCCTAATATGACACATTGGCAGGTAATATGTAATGATAGATGCATTAAATTTTCATCACTGCACTAATTTTTTGCGCGTTGTGTAAGTTTGCTGCAACAATTAAATCTGATAGATATTGTGATGCTCTAACCAAAACTTATTTTGATAAGCATAAATTGATTTTGTTCTTACTTTAAACATGGCGATGTTACTGCACCATTGCTGATAGTTCAATAAATCACTCAACTTCTTCTTAACACTTAACTTCTTCTTAACAATCACTTACTTTCCTTGTTGCGTTGTTAAGGATTGTTAAAATACACAAGTTGTGTATTTTTCATTTATGTAATCAGAGAAAGTTTGGCTTGACTTTGGCCGAATCGCGGAAGCTAGTTTAGTCGTGTGTTTGCGGTCGATGTATAAGGTTTAGGTACGTCTTGTGCAAATGGGGAAAGTGAAACTGTGGATGTAAAGTCTTAAGTCATCCGCTATATTTACATGCGTGTAAATATTTAAGTAGCATTTTAATGGTGACATTTTTGTATTTCCGATCATTATTGCGATATACAGTAACTTGGCTTAGAAACTACCGCAGTAATTAATAGTTCGATTCATGAACAGCCTCCCCGATTACGTCGTTGGCGCTCCGAGTATGAACGCGTTCAAGAACAGACTAGATAAAGCTATGGAAAAATATATGTTCGGATTTGAAATGCCTGGCACCATATCGAATCCGGTTTAAGTCTAGTAGCTATTTCAAGTTATCTTCTGTCATGAAAAGATCCGATCAAATGACACGATTTTAGATCTATGAACAAGGCACGAAAAGGAAAAGAATCGGCGACAGGCAACATAAGGCCTACACGCGTACTTCAGCGCCGTCATCGCTATGTTGTGTTATGTCTCAACTCTCGTACTAGATCAGATACGTCATGAAGATGGCTTTGTTTTTATTTTTGTTGGAAAACGTTCCTTGCAGTGTCAATACTCAGTTGCCTTTTTAGATAATAAGCATCATATTCCCAATTGCCTTTTTTATTTCATTCATTTTCAAAGCGTTCTTGTGGAATCATCTCCCAATTTTCCATGTTGCATTAACCAAAACTTTATACATAAATTGAAGAGAGCAATTCCATCTGGTTCCTCGTCCTTGATGTGATAAAGTTCATACTTCTGAGGAATGTTATAAGCATTCTCATTATTTCAGAAACAATTTTTTTCTTCAGTTTCTGATAAACTCCACTACTTTTTATTCATGTCAATTTAAAACCATTTTACAAAAATTAATTATCCGTCCCAATTTATGGTAAGTTATTAAAATCCATATATTTGATGATAATTAAAACTTGGCTGTATTACAATGTTAGTACAGTAGAGTCATTTTGTTCCAGTTGAACTAAATTCCGCAAAGTTGAGGAAAAGACGTTATAAATCTCCAGCAATTTGTGAACAGAGAGTTTCGATTCTTCAATCGCTGACTTGATCAGTTTCTTGTGAAATTATGAACAATTTCCCTATGGTGCCTGCGATGTACTGCCAAATTTACGGCGAGAATTTTTAAATAAGTGGATGTCTTTATCTAGTCAGCTCTTGAACTCGTACAGAATCCTTACCGCGTTATAACTTCGAAGGTCAATTTAGCAAACAACTTTTAGCTTTCAAGCATCGTCATCTATGGTATTAAAATTGTATTCTTATTTTTATTTGGACGCTTCTATGCAGCAAGAAATCTTCTTATTGTTATTAACAGGTTAGCTAAAATTAATCCGATCAATCACATATCTTTTTTTTACAAACGGTACAAATTTCTTCTTTTTTTACTTTCCAACGCTAAGCGAGATGGCTAAACTGCCTTTCGCTGTTGCAGACATTTATTGGCTAGTTACGTATTTTTAATCACATTTTTTTTTATTTTAATGTAATTTTTAGTTTTCACCTTATTACCATTAGATTATCCAGTAAAGAATCTTTGCGTTCACTGCATTACCTCATTTTGTAAAACATTAAAGAAGATTATCGTCCGATTTTGATTTCAACTCAAACTCAACACACGCAATACATTTCGCAATATATTCATATTTCTACGTTGTGCATTCATATTTCTGTCTATATATATATCAAACTTTATAACCTTATATTTAGCAAATTCTGTACGTTTAATACAGTTTAAATTGTTTATTAAATGCGTTAAATATATTTATTATATAATATATAGTCTGAAAATTTTATTAATAATATAATATAATATTAATTTAATTATTATTACATTATTAATTTATTTCAATTTTTTTATCAACACAGCACCACGGAGGCGTCGCCGAGCTCGCCCGTCCAGCACATCATGTTCCTGAAGACACACAAATGCGCTTCGTCATCAGTGCAGGTGATACTTAACTAAACTGCTTCACTGCCGGTCTACTATATCAAGTTATCAACTACTGAGTGCAGCGGCAATTTAACTATGGGGGAACATAGCGATAAATAGTAATAATAATGATAATAATAATAAGCAATAATAATAATAACAATAATAATAATAATAAGCAATAATAAGAATAATGAAAATAATAAAAATAATATAGTTTGTGTGCACCCTCTGCATATTAAAATTACAGCCCGCATAGGTAATTCAACTATTTACTTGAGGTAATAAATAACCGTGTAACAATATAGTTATTGAATAATGTGCATAATGCCTAAATAATCTCACTGATTCTATTCAAAATAGTTAATGAATGTTGTCTTCATGCAGAACATGTTTCTTCGGTACGCTTACAACCACAACCTCACACTTGCTCTTCCCGCATCACTAAACTACTTAGGAAATCCTTTACTATTTCAGGTAAGTCTTTAACTTACGCAGACAAAACTGTATAACTAACTTTTCTGCATTAAAAAAGCTTGAGCATATATTCTTTGCGATTTTTGTCTTCAGAATACCTCCTCATCCATTAACTTATTTGGCCTTAAATGCATTCAACTTCACAATTTTCGTTAGCATTCAACTCACATATAGAATTCAACTCGCATTTAGATTCATTTTGATATTATTTATTAAGCTTCACCAGTTCTATCGCGTATAGCCTACAGTATCCATCAAACACTCAACACTTATACCATAAAACACTCAACACTTATACCATAAAACACTCAACACTTATACCATTAAACACTCAACACTTATACCATCAAACACTCAACACTCATACCATCAAACACTCAACACTTATACCATCAAACACTTATACATCAAACACCTATACCATATAACACTTATACCATCAAACACTCAACACTTATTTTCGTATAACACAAACGTCCTCTCTTCCTCAGTCCGGCTTCATCCCCAAACCCCTGTTGCCGAGCAAAGGTGTGGTGGACATTTTTGCGGTGCACTCGCGCCTCAACCTTCCAGAGCACAGAAAAGTTCTGCATCCAGACTCGGTGTTCATCACAGTCGTCCGGGATCCCGTGAATCTCTTCGAAAGTTTATACAATTATTTCTACCTTAAATACTACTATGACTTGACTCTCGCCCAGTACATGGAATTGCCATTTGGAGTGAGTCATCAGAGTTCATCTTGCAATGTTACAGTAGAACAATATTTGTTTCGATGAATAACATGAGTGAAAAAGGCGAATTTTTTTCGGTGGAAGGAATTTGTGTTTTTAGGAAATTAAAACGTGGTGATATATTCCTCATTCATTTCGCCAGGGTAAGATGTTTCTAATAATTTCTTTCGCCCACGGGAATTCTCAACTTTTTCTCCTTTATTAAATAACCTATATGCTGACGACAACCTTTTTCTTGTTTGCTAACTTGAAATACTATATAAGATTATTTGTTAAGGGGCTGAGTAAATGCATCCTACAATATTTTTCAGAGTCAATTCGACATGTACAGAGCAGCAGAAAAGTTCGGCCCCGATATGATGTTGTTCGACTTGGGCTACACAGTGAAAGCCAATACAACTGACCGTGAGTTTACAGAGATCATCAATGAAGTGGACAAAATTTTCGATCTTGTTATGATTGCGGAGAGGATCGACGAAAGTCTCATTCTCATGAAAAAATTACTCAATTGGGAATATGAAGATATAGTATTTTATAATAAGAATGCGAGACGTCGCAGTTACAAACAGAAACTCACGCAAAAGTTACGAGAAAAGATACGTAAACTGAACAAGGGAGACCAGTTGTTATACGATCATTTCCTACTTCGGCACGAAGAAGCCGTCCGCAACTACGGAACAGAAAAGATGGCAGAGGAGGTGGAGCTGCTCCGGGTAGCGCGGGACGATATATTCGGACAATGCAAAATGAAGAAATTCGAAGGTCGTCCACCGAATAAAATTTTCCAAGAATATTCTATATTAGTCGAAACTTTTACGATTGAGGATTTGACGGATGAAAACTGCTTAATGCTTTCCCTCCCAGAATTACAGTTGTTAGATTTCGTTCGAGCGTATCAAACTAAAATGTTGAAAAATACGTGATTAGAGACTAGAATGCCTTTGTTTCAGTGTTTAATTTACGTGTCATATACCTCAGTATTGTAAACGGATCGCACTGCTTTAGGTCACTTTAATGGCTGTATGACTTTAATACAAATCTTGAACACCCCTTAGCCTTATATATCCGAATTAAAGCTGGTATACACTGCGATATGTGTGATTAAAGAATGTTTATGTATCTGGATGTATGTGAATATATTATAAATAATATGAAAGTCGAAGGGTGTTTTAAGGTAAAATAACAATATTCTCCGAACTATACTCATAGTAAATATATGTATATAGTTACACTCATCGCTGCTACGGATAGACAATCCCTGCAATTAGAGGATCTTCTTCTCCCAAACTCTGTTAATAATATTAAAACTATGTTGTTTATTGAAAGACCCGTTTCAATCATTATTTAGCCTAGGACCCTCGTTAAAATCCCGTTTACAAATTCAACGGTAACTTGAAGAGTTTTTTTGCCAATAGGTATATTTACGAATGTAAAAATATTAATAATATATAATCAGATTTTATACTTCATTTTTTTCTAGTTCTCACTATTTCACGATGAAAAACAAAATCGTATTCTAATTAAAATCCCTAATAACTAAGTATCGTGAATTCCCGTCGGACCTACCTCGATATGTTTCAGCGATGATTCAAAAACGCAAAAATTCAACAAACATACATTTGTGGTATGTTTTGTGGCTAAGCCACATTTGTGGCTTATTCTATTCGAAATTTTGACAGCATTTTTAGCATTCTGGGAGATATTTAATAACAAAGATGTTAGATAATCGTAGAATGGTCATTTATAGATCGATAGTTTGTTAGCGCATTTTCTCATTTATGGAAATAAAGGCGCTGTTGTGCTCGTCATGTCCATCCGTCCGTCTGTCTGTTCGTCTGCCCGTCTGTCTGCCTGTCCGTCCGTGACTTCACGTTTTCGTCGACGAGAAAATGCGCTCTCTGTCACTCGTTGCAGTGAGTACTGAGTTATATTTATTTCTAAGTTGCTTCGAGGCATCGTTTGCATCTCAAGCGTAAATGAGAAGGCACCATATTATAAACTGTTTGATCTTCGTTCTAGATGGCTGTCTTTGGATCTGAAGTTATAAATTGTTTGTTTTTATCGTTAGATTGATATGATTTATCCATCGGGTCACTATAATAAATGTTTAAACTCACGAGAAAACTTGCGGCAAAACTTTTATTTAACCCTCCACGTCGGACCCAGACTAACTTTTCGATAGCATTACCTGTTGTCGAACCTCCGAAGTTTTCATGACCTAACTACTTATGAAATTCAATTTTAATTTTGAAGATAATTACTATATTTTTGCATTTTTGCGACATAAAACTGACTGGCGAGTGGCGATTTACAAACCCCAATATTCCTTGCTATTCGGCGTGGACAACTTTCCTTATTTCCTGTAATCTGAATGTGAAGATTATAACTAACTTTTGCTTCTAGTAAATCTAGCACACCAAGTCAGATTCTTCTTGTGTCTAGACCGTCAACGAAGGCACTTCTTCATTTGTCATCGTCTACTGCGTGTGCAAGATGGAGTAAAACATTCAGCACGAGTCGAGACTGAGGTGGTGGCCTTGAGGTGTGAGAGGATCCGTAGGCGAAGCCAACAGCTTAATTGTCTTCTTACGGGGTTGTCTACTACAACAGCTTAGAATAGAATAGAATGGAAGTGTCGGCGTTGAAGAAATAGGCCCATGGCCTGTTGCCGATTCTTGAACTTTTCGTGACTTGATTCACAAGGGATCCGGCCTTTGGAACCCGATCTTTCCATAGCTGACGATTGATTGAGATAGCTGCTGGACTTATTGCCNATCGCCTTGAAATTCGGAATATAAGTGCTTGCTATAAATGCGTTGGTTAACGAATCGTCAAAATTGAAGGAAAATCCAATATATCCAATTAAGTCCAGAATACCTGACTAATGACTCGATAATTTATAAGAAACGCATGGTGTTGGCACATTCGGTACGTTACAACTTGTAACTAATGTGTTACTGCTGGTTCCGAGATTAATTTCCCTACCTTGGACGAGTCTCCAGAGCTCCCTCAGCTCTAAAAGAAGAAGAAGAGATTAATTTCCCTACCAGTGATGAAATTCTGAGACACAAACTACATGAGCACTGGGCCAAAACATGGAAGGCCTCTGTTGCTCACTCCCAGAAGGGAATTTTTCTGAACAACATCATGGAGGAACCTAGACTGCGTCCTTGGCTCTGCACCTCTGCTTGAAGTCTCGAAGACTGGACTCTGGAGTGCGCTGCTGCCCGACTAAGAATCTGTCTCTTATACACATCTAGATGTGTATAAGAGACAGTACTACAACAGCTTGTCTTCTCACGGGGTTGTCTACTGCAACAGCTTGTCTTCTTACGGGGTTGTCTACTACAACAGCTTGTCTTCTTACGGGGTTGTCTACTACAACAGCTTGTCTTCTTACGGGGTTGTCTACTACAACAGCTTGTCATCTTACGGGGTTGTCTGCTACAACAGCTTGTCTTCTTACGGGGTTGTCTACTACAACAGCTTGTCTCTTAACGTTGGCGCTCTTGGTAAGAGCGCAAGAGAGGATCGGATGCTGCAGGTTGGTTGTCCTGTCACTAAGTCTGAGTCGGAGTCTCTCGACAGCACTCAACTCGACAGCACTCGACTCGACAGCACGCGACTCGACAGCACTCGACTCGATAGCACTCGACTCGACAGCACTCGACTCGACAGCACTCGACTCGACAGCACTCGACTCGACAGCACTCGACTCGACAGCACTCGACTCGACAGCACTCGACTCGACAGCGCTCGACTCGACAGCACTCGACTCGACAGCACTCGACTCGACGGAATTTGACTCGACAGCACTCGACTCGACAGCACTCGACTTGACAGCGCTCGACTCGACAGCATTTGACTCGAGTCGAGTGCTGCCTGATACTCCGTGTTGAATCTTGGATCGCTATGCAGGATCTACCCGATTTCTGTTCGCTATCGCGGTGTTCGCAACCAAATGAACTTCCTGCTTGATCAGATTCAATTAGATCTCAATGAAATATCAAGTAAATCATCAAGTATAAACAACCGATCTATATTAATTATTTCTTTTATTCGCTTCAGTTTCTGAATAACTCCGAAATTTGACCATTTTTCACATCATCATATTGGCCCTTTTTGCCACCGTGAAAATCTATTCTAACTCCTCAGAAGAGCTCGCTGGTGGTTTACTGTTTGCGGAAGCGCATGGGATACCAAATATCGAGTTTGCAAAGAAATATTGGGAGACTAAAATATCTAACTTGAAAGCAAACTTGCAACCCCAAAAGTGATAACTTACGATATCTCACATTTCGGCTAACGTTCTGCATTTACATGCTCTTCTATGCCCTTGCCGCTTTTACGTTATTCGTCTTCTCATTTCTACTTGGATTTTGACCTAAATTGATTAACTCCTTTCAATTATTTTATTGGAAGCTTCGTTCATGCATATTTCATCATTTTCTTCGTACACCGAAGTGTAGCGGAGACACAATCAATTAAATGTATGGTCTCAGCATATTATCGCTCCCATGATGGTGTAATATTCATTATTGATACTGTGATACGAGAATGATTTTGATATTTTATTAAAAAAACATGTGAAACAAACAGCATCATTTATTTTCGAAATTGCAACTTGTGCAATTGTTCAATCAAGTCGCTTTCTGAAACCGCGGAAGACGGAAAGGGCGGACATATTCCGGCATAATAGATTGACGCTTGCCTGAGGTTTGTTGAGATAAATTCATCAGTTCTATTATTATTTATTTACCTTAAAATTCGTCTATTTGAACTTATTGCTTTAAAATATCTTTATCAAACTTGGGCCCTTTGAAATTGTATAATATTGTCGACTGCAATATAATATATACTTGTATAACAATTCAGGACCTAGCAGATAAGCAGATCTCTCATCTCGGAAATATTTATCTCGGTTGCCGTTATCTCTCGGCATTTCCATACTTAATTTCCTGTTGCATTGCAGTCATTAAGATCCTAATAAAATAAATAATGATGGAATACTAGGTAAAACTGAGAATTATTTTAGTTTGGTCTGTTTTTTATGAGCTTCGATTTGTTTTCAAAGTTTGGAACCACTCCTCAAAATAATTCATTCTCAGTCTATTGGATTGACATAGTAGTACAAGAACCTAAGAAGAGCACCATCCTCCAGAACCCAGATTGTCATGGTCCAGACTCCAGATCATACATACAGTGCCACTGCCAGCTGCCAGGTAGGTACCTATGAGGCTATGATACTAATTACCTGAACCTGGTAGTTTCTACAATAACACATTTTGAACAAATAGAACAATAATGTATCATTGATAGTTTACAAAGAAATTTTAGGGTGACTAAAATTTCTATTTTTTGATAACTTGAACAGTTGAACTCAATGTTAGATTATAGTCATTATACATTTATACTGGAGCCTGAAGTCCTCCTCTTTTATTGTAGATGATGTAGATGTAGAATAAATGACATTTTCTGTGTTTTTTACTTGTTTATGCTTTATTGATATGATCACACTTGACACTTCACACCATATACATTCATATGCATTACCGTATTATTGTCATTGATGTGATATTACCCGGAATCCGGATTACCGTATCTGTAAACATATAATTGAGCATTTACAACAACCTTGTCCACTGCAAGCTTTGAAGCTTCATATCAGCAGCCACATAGCATTTCTTCTGTATCTGTAAGCTTACAGGACAGCTTGTAATTTCACACCATTTTAATTGGGTTACCTAAGTGAATTCACTATAAAAAATCTTAAGAAACATACCTGAAACAGAAAGGAATGTTTTAGAAATAACCATCATATGTTTTGGAAAAATAAATCATAGTTTAGGTTCATTACTTTTCATTCTATGATGCCCAGTGCACAATTCTATATACATTTGAGTCTATGACATTCTGTGCACAACCTCTATTTTTAGGGCTGCTACTAGATCTTTCCCCGTCATTTCTGGAACCGCGAGATTTCCGCCAGATGAATTACCTCCTATCTAATTTTTAACTAAAGTGCACGATCGCGCCGCAAGATTCCAAATGTATTAAAAATTTGCCATGTTGGAACCACAAGATTTCAGGAACAAGTAGGAAAATTCCAATCTTGCTCCAAAGTCCTCTTCCTTTGTAGATGATGTATATGTAGAATAAACAACATTTTCTGTGATCTGTACTTGTATTTCCTGTATTGATATGATATTACCGTATCCATACATTACCATATTATTGATGTGATATTACCGTACCTATCCATGGACATGCCATTAAGCATTGACAATGACCTTGTCCACGGCAAGCTTCACATCAGCAGCCATATAGTATTTCCTATGTATCTGTAAGCTTACAGGATGGCTTGTAATTTTGCACCATTTTAATTGTGTCAATTGAATTCACTATAACAAAAAAAAATTACAAAAACAAATCTACCTGAAAGGCTGAAACACAAAGGAATATATTAGTGACAAACTAACAATATATTTTATAAAAGCTAACTTTTCAGTTAGCTGTGCCCATCACTGTCAATGTTTTATCCCTTATGTTAATATTTTTATTTATTCCTACAGATTCTTATTCTTTTTATTCCTATAGATTTCAAGAGACGTCTGAGCTGCTAATGTAAGCTTGGGCCCCAGCAAAAACAAGGCATTCAACCATGTGTGTGGACAGGGATATGAACTTCAGTGGTCATCACTCCTCTTAGCAATGGAGATCATTCAACAACTTACGCAGGTTGTAAGCTGAAAGGTTAATTTGATCATGCTGTCTAATTGGCTATTTTAATGAAAAATTTTCACAATCACATACTCAGGTTGCAAGCTGAAAATGTATGTTGCTAATGCCATCTAAATAAAAAAGGAATTAAAATTTCTAGGTATCAAATGAGCCTAACAATTCTGGCTGTAAAATTGAATTGTTTATGAGATTACCATCTTATATCCTGACTGTTTCAGATTATTCCCTTAGAAAATAAAAACTTGGGTAAACAGATTACTTTTCTATAAATTTTCAATTTCAGAAGATAGAATAATATTGTTGATTTTCAAAAGATAAAACAATGCTCAATTAGTGTGATATCAATTAAACATGCCAAAATGGTATATTGCCTTAACATTTCAGTATTATAATATTTTTACGTATTGTCATGCCTAATATTTCATTTTTGTCACCCAAATGAAAATGTTATTCATTTTAATGATAGCTTAGAATTTGCATTGTTATTCCTTTCACTAGTTTAACTTCCCAAGTTACTTGGTTTATTTTCCATCTGAAAACCTGTTTAAGATTAGAAAATCATTCATGAATTGATGAAACTTCATTTATGCCATTGCTCACTCTATGTACCTGATAAAGTAGCTTGATAGACATAAGTTTTTTTTATATATTATTCTGCTATTACATTATCTGATGACAAGCTTACATGATGTTATGTACATCAATATCCATTGATATGGTACATGATTGTTACAGTATTTATTGGTTGTCAACATTTAATTTGAATCTCGTTGAATAGCATTCGCAAAATTAATTTTTCAGTGCATCTCCAAATCATTCACTTTCCCAAATAATTAGTAGGTACCTTTCATTTCAGTGCGTAGATCTGGTGATTGTAGAATTAAAGCCATAAGTTTCAAAAAGGTCAGCCATATTGTCAAGGATAGGTGCACTATTGTGTGATGTACGGTTTCTGGTTTTTGTATGACAACGTGAGAAAATGTAGACTCTCACATACCTAGGTCTCTTAATTCAATGCTCTAGATTTTTGTACGAGAAATAGGATTTATGATCATTATTTATACGGTTAGTTGTACTCAAGGGTTAATGAAGCACATGACGGTACTTTTGAAGTTTTTGTACATCGATACATGTTGTTAGCATCTTCTTGCAGTCATTGATAAGCAATTATTTAGTTGTTTTATACTGTGGTTGCTCTTCCCTCTGATGATAATTTTTGAGTGCTTTCTATTTTACAATAATTTTGAGAAATTCAAGCATCTTAGGATATCTACTGCTGTACTCTATCATCTTGCAAAATTTTATTAGGATATTGGCTGCAGGCTGTGTATTGAATTTTATGCGCACTATAAGTGAATGATTGTAATTTTGATTCTGCCTTGATTTGGTTGTCTCCTGTCACTCTCAATATAATATAAAAAATGACATTAGATTGGCAGCAGTATGAACTACTCTGTACTTTAGGTGAGGGCCGGTATGGCATTGTAACTAGAGCTCGTCACAAAAAGCTTGGCTCATTCGTTGCACTCAAGACGATCATAGGTCTAGAATTATTTAAAAATAAAGATCTTCCGTTGGTCTCTTCAAAAGTTCAAACTGTTGACAACACAAAACATTCCTTAGAGAATTCATTGCGTCATGAGGCCAGGGTGTTGGCGGCTCTCAGTCATCCTTGTGTCGTGTCTCTCGTTGAGGTTTGCATTGGTCAAGATGGCAGGCTGGCTTTGGCTCTTGAAGATCTGGGAGGAACATCGCTCTCCAGTTTGGTACAATCGCGTTCGGGAGTTGGGTTATGTGAGTGTTTGGTAGGTTGCGTTGCACTGCATATGACCAGAGCTTTGGAGTATCTTCATTCTCGAAAGTTTCTTCATAGGGACGTGAAGCCTGAGAATATTATGGTGGAGAAAACGAATCACTGCTTTCCACACGCGAAACTAATTGATCTTGGGCTTTCAATAAAGTACGAAGCCGATAATCCACCTAATTCTTCTGTAACTCGCGCTGGTACGGTAGCATTTATGGCACCAGAGCTCATGAGCCCCAATGTATTTTACGGACCTAAGGTCGATGTCTTTGGGCTAGGAGCGTCTCTGTACTTCAGCCTTACGGCAGAAGAGCCTTTTGTTGCCTACGACACACCTTCTGGGTTTCGCACCAGCACCTGCGTGTTCGGACTGCAAGTTCAACATGATGAAAACCTGAATAGAATGTCGATGGAAGTTTCTGAAGTTATCAAAGGTGTATTAGAGGTGCAGCCTCATCAGCGTTGGAGTACTAATGCGATCATGAAAAGTCATTGGCTACGCCATATTGCAGTAAGCCGAACGTCCGCTCGCCACGTTAGTACATGCCTAGAACCGCTCAATGATTGGCTTCTTCTTAACCAATCTTTTCCTGTCGCAGCCTCGTACTGCCAGACAACGCCGTGTCGCATCCGAAATATTAGCGAACAGTCGACAGCTTCAGAGGAGGAATCTTTATCTTCCTCTTTGTCGTCTGTCCAATTGTCACCAAGTTCAGAATCCGAAGAAATTTCCCCAAATTGTAATTTTGTTCCGCCGGCTCCTCCGCCACAAAACGAGCTAGATAATAAAAAGAATTCTAAATTCGACGATTTTCAATGTTTATCTGATTTGTCAGACAAATTCTTGCCTCCATGCAATCGCGAAGGATATTTGGCCGAAAGTGTGGATTGTCTAATGCTAAGTAGTGAACCTGAATGTCGAATAGTGGGACGCAAGGACGTAGTATGTCGTTCGTTATCGTCGTCAGAGTGTGCTTGTTTTGGTCTTGATTTAGATTTCGATGAGGAAACTCTCGAAGAATTAGCCAGGCTTCTAGGGGATGAGTGCGTGTGTGTGAAGACCACAATTCAGACTCGGCCGTGGGGTGAAGTCGCTGGAATGTACAACTTGTTGAGGCTGAGAAAAATTTCACTTTTTGGTGGACAGAATCCAGCCAAGGCTTGTGGACCTGACAAAAGTGCTCTTATGCGCAGAAACTCTTTGTGACATAATATTAGCTTCGTTTTTGTATTCCAAATAATAGATAGTAGTTTTCACAGGCTGTTCGATTTCAATTCAAGTCTTCTCGCCTGAAAATCGTGTATAGGTTGTTCAGAATGGTAAGGTAAAGGCTATACAATCACGAGTTTTTATAAAGGCCAGATTCTACGTGGTGCTCTCCATTGTGTTTAATATTAGATAAATAAGTGCATGCAGCGCTAAACAAGTTTCTGCTTGAGACGCTCATTTTACATCAAGACCCTCTTTGCTTGCTTCGTATTTTAGCAAAATAAAACTACGAGGAAAATGTATGTTTTGAAGAGAGCGGTAGGATTTTTTACTCTAGTTGTCCATTTTTGAGGTCATACGCATGTATGTGTATTTCTTGTATTTAAATTCGGATCTATATATATTAATGATTTTAAATTTCATCGGTGACATGTGAGCGAGGTTCTGATGCTAACTCATCCAGTGAGCTTCTCTAGATGATTTGATGAGAAAATGTTTCACATTCAATTTTCTTTACAAAATGACTTTTCTTGATGAAATGTAATTTTTTAGCTGTACAATGGTGACATTTTTTGCATGGTTAATAATATTTGTTATAACTTTTCATTTTTTTCACGGCACGAGCAGCACACACAATGTTCTCTCGACGGTCGTATGTTTAAATAGGGTATAGTGTCCAGCCTGGGGCCATACTTTCACAGCCCACGGCACGCTTGTGAGTCGCCTTCAAATCATCCTTCATTGTCGGGTATTGAACCTGGGCCTCGTATATTAAGTTGTGTATTTACAGTGGGGGGAAATAAATATTCGTACACTTGAAAAATCGTATTTTAAATGTATGTAAGTACACAAACTGAACAGGAGAAGTGATTTATATTATGTATAGAGGCGCATTGTATTCAAAAATAGCATCAATAGAAATTAAATCTCAATGCAACAAAAATTAATGCAACATGTTAACTTCTTCGTAATACTATGCGTCTCTATACATAATTTAAATCACTTTTCCTGTTAAGTTTGTGTACTTACATACATTAAAATACGATTTTTCAAGTGTACGAATATTTATTTCCCCCCACTGTATATCGCTGTCACGCGAAAACAACTCCATAATTTTATTGCCCCAAATGTAATTTTTTTTTGTGCTCTTGCTGCGTCTAAGAGCGCAATATTTTTTGTATCCGAATTGTTATAACTCAACATTTATTTGCTATTGTTATGATTTCATGTACATTCTCTCAATCTAAGTCATGGCCCAAGTTTTCAATGATTTTCACCGTCCGACAATTCTTTGAATTTTAAATTTTGTACTTTTTTACGATCGTAGATTAGGTATTTCTTTCCATATAATTCGTAATTATATGCTTCTCTCAACAAGCTTCTTTTCATATTTGATGCCATATCATCTTTGGCCTTTTGTAGAGATGGGACACAAATAGGCCCATTGATTGTCAATGAACTATTTCGTAATTAGCGTCACGACGGGAGTTAATTTAAATTTTTTTCTTGCTTCAGGTACCGGTAGTATGTAATGGTGAGATGTTCGTTACAAAAGCCTCACCGATAACCGATATGCCATTGACTTAATTAACAATTTGTTTTATATCTTGGATTCTTGGCTCTGTTCTTTAGCTAGTCTTCTGAATCTTGTTTATCGACCATCACCTTTACGCTGTTTATTCTCTGCTTCCACGTCGTAAAACTTCGGCGAAAATGTTTGAGACGACAGGATATGCCTCGATTGTAGACTTTGTAACCGAGCATTAAGTTACAAGCCTAATTGGTTCTTTATTAATACCATTACCAAATAACTTGTACATAAATCTTAATTTACTACTTAACCTTTAACTTTTACTTGTGAGATAAATTTTGCCGCTAATAAATCGCTGATCGCTGTAATAAGTTTCAAAGCGTTTAATACCTTATATTCACCGTATCTCTGTCACCGGCATTGCGAATCTTGCAATTAAAAGAATGCACTTGTAACTTGGTTACTATAATTTAACCTGTAGTTAACCAGCGAGCTGCTGGATATCTACACGATCGCTTACTGCACATTAAATGATCCTTTATTACTTATTGTAATAGACGTGTATACAAGAATTTAACTTGACAATGACGGCTATTGCAAACTTGAAGTGTACATAGTTAAACGGAACTGAAGGATCATGAAAAAATCCCGAGGAATTTATTTTATTGTCTCTAGAAAACAAGTTACATCTTAACACTACGGGTGTCAGAACTGAAAGGTGCGAGCTGAAGAGCCTCGTACTTCCTCAGATGTGATTTTCTTGAGGAACATGACGATACTCCCGTTGTGTTTTTTCTATGCAGACCATCACGGCACGAGCAGCACACTCAATGTTCTCTCGATGGTCGTAAGATTAAAGAGGATATTGTGTCCTGGTTTTACCTCTGCGAAGAATTCAGAATTCGTACCTCAGCCTTGCAGAATTGGTTCGGAACAATAATTGTTGGTCATGTAACGATCATCAAAACAACTTGCTATCAAGAATAACCTGCCTATCATTCATGTTAGTCTTGAATGGACAATGTTCATAGCGCTCGATTTACTCGTATCTAACAAATTTTTATCAATCAGGCAGTCAGACGGTCGAATAATTTTGTCCATCAAGCCAGCCTCAAACTGCGTTCTCATCGACATCGATTAATTACTGGATCAACTGTGTAACTTGTAAGCTTATTTAAGATTTATTAGGATATTTAAGGCACATTCCTGTCGAGCCCATGAGGGCAAAAACGATACCTCGACTTTCCGAGTCATATCGGTAAAAAATGTGTTTTACGATAATGGAAAATGTCAGGAAAAACTAAGAAATGAAGAGTTAATACAGCAATAGACAGGATGCAAATCAACGCTCGCTGCACTAAAAAATTATAATTTAAATTTAAAATCGAAAGACAAAGAACGTTAATTAAAATCGATGAAAGAAATAAATGACGCTACTTTATTATCAAAAGTCAAGGGCCTATATTTCACGCCATTAAACGGGTGAAGTAAATTTGAAATGAGAACCTTGAAACTTCAGCTTTTGACTTCCTACTTGTAGTAGTGGATCATGTCCAAATACTGTGCATCGATTCAGATTGTTAATGAATTGCGTACAAATTAACTTTAAAAGCAAATCAGCAGCCAACATATGGTTGCAGCGGCACCACAATCTTAATAATTCAATCAAATATGGGCGCAACGGAGAACTCCACAACTCCTTTAACCTTAGTAACTGCTGTAACTGAAGACTGGCGACAAACACATTAAATTAGTAAACAAGAAACTTAGAATGAACAGGAAAGAAAACTAAAGACAAATGACTACATGAAAAGATCGAAGCAGACACGGACACATTAAGCCTCACTAGGAAGCTGCGTAGACGCCACACATCAAGTTATTCAGATGAGAATCCAAAAAGAATCTATTGTCCATCATTATGTCCTAATTATAAAAGGAGTATTATTTATCAAACATAATTACCACCGGTAATACAAAACCACTAAAATATACAAGTAAGAACCACGCCTACTACTACAGTGTAAAACGAGTATGAGAATAAATACCTTAGGTTATGCAGAAACAAATTCAGGTATATAAAACTAGCTAACTAGTGAATACGAACACGACAAAACATGAGAATGCGATATGTTTGAACTACGGTTCCGCACTCAATACAATGGTCACGATATTGTCAGTAAATATACTAGTTAAAGGTTATAACAGGGAGCCTAGAAAATGACCAATATGCAGCAATAGCCAACGGAGCCTCCAATATCCGGCGCAAAAAAAATATAGCATTAATTTCTGCTTAATATAATTATTACGATCGTGGGCATGGTGATCGTTTAAACGAAGAAAGGAAGCCTGGCACAAGCAACGTCATCACGAGCTCTTCAACAATGCTACGAAAAGTGTATCGTTACACATACCTACAAAATTTATCTGACAATGCTGCTCAAATATATCACAACAAGTGATGATTTCTCGTGATAAAAATTAATCCTCAATTGTCAAAGACTATCAATGTTCGTTAAATCCATTGTTGATAGAGAGTTCGCGTCTATAACAAATTATAATGGCCTCTTTCTATATGTCAGCTATCGGCCGCAACTAGAATAATTATATCATCACTGATGATCGAAAGTCCGTCACAACTAAAGTAATTCGCAAAGCGTGAGTCGAGATTAAACACATGCTAAAAAAAAACAATATCGCAGTCTGAACCACTAAACAGAGGTAAAATTGCAGTGTCAAATGCAATGGAAGCAATAACACAAACAACAAGATCTATAAATGAATTTTCACAAACATATTCAATACTTGATTACAGACCCGAAAAACCTCGCTCGTCAGAAAAGTGTCCAGTCAAATGCTTTAAGTGATTAGCATTTTTGAGATGACGATAAACGATCAGATCGAATAACCTTCATCCTTCGCGGGCCGTCAGTCGACATTCTTTGAGATAAATTACTGATAAAATTAGCTTTAAGACCGCGTAGAAAATCTAGCCATGGAATATTGACTGGTGAGGCAAAAGGCGAGTCTAGATAGCCCAAGGCTGGCGCAGCGTTACGAAGCGAAGTACAACTAGATAACAAATAACAACAAAGTATCTTTGGAGGATATCAATGTTATGAGATTCTCAATATTCCCACAGGTCTTCACATGAGATTCTGACAGCCAAGACAACTAACAAAAAAGGAACTCGCGCAACAAACTCTTGACTCATCAAAACTGTTCTCGATACAGCCTAATTATTTTCAGCATACCGCATGATAAACAGAAACAAAAGGAACAATAGCAATACATCAAGGAGGAACACGCGTCTGTAGGAAGCATACAAAATGAGAGTCGCTATCAAATAGCAGTAGAGGGACATTTGCAAATTTAAAAAAATGGTGACGCGGTTCATTTTAGTCCCGGTCAAGCAATAACGTTCATTTGTTGAGCAATTACAAAATTGAAGTGAATTTGCCAATCATTTGGTCGATATGAAATGGAGTGTAATAATTAGCATTAAAACTATATATTCTGGCTGACCTCTATATAGTTTGAAAGTTATCTGATTTCCTTAAGCTGATTACATAAAAAATATTTAACAAGCTTTAATTTATTTCTGAGGACTCGTATTCTACCGATTATCTGGTTTATGATCAGGATTTATTTGTTTTTTTTTTCTACACACATTATGACGGAAAAACTATCAACCTCCGCGACACTTCACTCACATCGTAAGCGCAATACGAGAGATGCTTTTAAATTTCAACTTACATTATCACTGCAAAATATTTGTTTGAACGTGCAGACGACAAACTTCGCAACCAAGAGTGCCGCTTCGTCCGCGTGTCAATTAACATTGGGTGATTAAAGTAACAATAGTGATCAAGTTTGGTATATAGGCGCTTGTGTTCCAACATACCGAGAGCATGCAAATAGTTTTATTTCATTCAATCTATATCCTCGACTCTCTTTTCAAATGTTTTTGTAACCCTTCAAGTTCAGATAATAAATTTTGTAATATCAAATAGATTTAAATCATTAATAGCTCTAAGCCTTAAGTGAGGGACCAAGAGAGGACGATATGGGCACAGAGTCCTCCTCTCCTGAAGGCAAGCATTGGGTGACGGAGGTGGTGGGGAAGTGACGAGGTTCCATGGGAGTTGGGGAGCTACGGGAGGCGTGGTCGGCAGGGGAGCGTTGCTGGGCTTCTCCAGTCGGGGAGCTTCGGGAGGTCAGGTCCTCAGGAAGCCTGGGCAACCGCAGCAAGGGAGGGGGTGGAGGTCGTGGAGAAGAGCATGACTCCGTCTAGAAATTCAGTTGTCATTTTAATTTCGCTATTAAACCATGATATGAAGTTTGGTTACGTTAATACATCATCTCCCTGACACCGCCAAGTGAGCAAAATAGCTCATGATAACTCGAATTTTTCCACACACACATATAAAAACATAGAGTTGCAAAAAACGTATGTATTAGGAATAGAGAAGGGCAAGAATGATCAAGCTCCAAGAGTAAATGATCATGTTCCTTAGTTACATGCAATTTCCTTTCATACCAAACATGTAGAGCAGTAATATATTACAAAATTCTTTCTATTTTTCATAAAGAAAATAATTGAAATCCCGGGAATCCTAAATTTTTTTATTCATACTAGTATTACGAGGGAACATAAAACTAAAATTCTCATTCAAATATGGAATGCACAGGTAAATTAGATCATTCATTTGTAAGATGAATCATGAGGAATGTTACTCTTGTCAATTCTGTTGAAGCCTTCCGTTGAGGCGCCTATTTCGTACAAATTTCCTCATGAAGTAAAGGTTACGATTGCATAGGGAGACTATTCTTTCACATGAAATTAAGCAAGTGAACGCACCCTCGTCTTAGAATTTGGTGATGCTTCTTGATATGAAGCGTTTTAAGATTCACAAATTTTAAGTACCTACAGAATAGGCAAAATTATTGACGATAAAAAGTCATCTCCCTTTACCAGCCAAGTCTTCTTCCTTTACCAGCCATAGTGTGGGAATTCTGAATTCGATATGATACACAAAATAGGGCTTTTTTGATATGATATGATACACAAAATATTTTTGATATGATACACAAAATAGGGCTTAATATCAATTATATAAAAACCAAGCGAATATCAGAACTCACCTGTCTCGAGTCTTGAGGGACCTGGGTTTGTTTCGGCGAACCGTAGTCATCATAAAGGTCGTCAAGAGACTCGTTCGGGTAACTGCTTGATCCAGAATGTTCATCCGACCCGAGAACCCCTAACGTCGACTCTTCCGAACCTTCAACTTTTACGTGCATACCTTGCTGAAGTGGCATGCTTTTGACAGATTTTCTTCCTTGGGACGGTACAGTCTCTCGGTGATGCATAGACTCCGAAATTTTATCAGCGGATGCAGATTTCTTGTCACGGTGTCCCATGTTGGCTTTTTGTGAGGCAGCTTCAAGTGATGGCGTCGCGTCTCTGGACGAGGCTGCTTCGAGGTGCTGGATTGTGTCGCGCTGAGTAAGGCTGCGGTTAAACGCTATGGACGAGAGGGCATATGCAGCGCTCAGGACGTCGTCAGACTGGGGGCCTGGACTATTCAGGGTGCGAGGTGACAGAGCATAGCTGCTTCCTGCTGCGCCTGCACATCAATATGAAAAGTTAGCCAAATTATTATTATTACAAAAACAGAGGCTAAATTTATCATCTCAGCACCCAATAATCAATCATCTCGATTCTAACGCCGATCGGAAGTCCGATTCAGATTTTATCACGAATAAGAAACGAATCAGTTTTTTGCATGTTTTAGGGAAGAAGAGAAAAAACGACTCGGCAAATAAAAGCAGGGCATTATGGGGGAGACAGGCCCGCATTAGGGTAGCTACAGACCCGCATTAGGGTAGCTACAGACCAACATAAGGGTAGCTACAGACCAACATAAGGGTAGCTACAGACCAACATAAGGGTAGCTACAGACCAACATAAGGGTAGCTACAGACCGGCATTAGGGTAGCTACAGACCAACATAAGGGTAGCTACAGACCAACATAAGGGTATCTACAGACCGGCATTAGGGTAGCTACAGACCGGCATTAGGGTATCTACAGACCGGCATTAGTGTAGCTACAGACTGGCATTAGGGTAGCTACAGACTGGCATTAGGGTAGCTACAGACCGGTATTAGGGTAGCTACAGACCGGCATTAGGGCAGCTACAGACCGGCATTAGGGTAGCTACAGACCGGCAGTAGGGTATCTACAGACCGGCATTAGTGTAGCTACAGACCGGTATTAGGGTAGCTACAGACCGGCATTAGGGCAGCTACAGACCGGCATTAGGGCAGCTACAGACCAACATAAGGGTAGCTACAGACCGGCATTAGGGTAGCTACAGACCGGTATTAGGGTAGCTACAGACCGGCATTAGGGTAGCTACAGACCAGCATTAAGGTAGCTACTGACCGGCATTAGGGTAGCTACTGACCGACATTAGGGTATCTACAGACCAACATAAGGGTAGCTACAGACCAGCATTAGGGGAGAGCTGTGCAGGATCGTCAGGTAACGACCCTGAAGCACCCCCTGCGTCGTACGGCCGCTTGCGCTGCATAGTTCGGGGGTTGCGGCGTCGCGTCATGGGACTGTCCCGGAACAGATGGCTGGGACGGTCCACGTTGTGCAGCTTGTAGTACAGACCGCACGCGTTGCACACAATGTCACCTGCACATGTACGGCACTTTAATGTCACCTGACTTTAATGTCAATGTCACCTGCACATGTACGGCACTTTAACATCAACCATGCGATCGGATATTTTCTGCTGGTGAAAACTATTTTGACGGCCAACATAATCTGTTCATTATTGTTTGGTTTTCAAATAATACAGCATGACACTACATTATTTTCAATCTATCCCAATTTCAACTATTACAATATCAAATATTAATAAAATAATGACGTAGCATGAATTTTCAGTCATGTGTTCATTCTGACTTGTTGTAGACTAGTTCTCAAAGTGTAGGAGCTACAAAATGAGTGTGGTTTAAAGGGATTAATTTCATCGAATTCCCACGCCCATTCCTGGCTAAGTTTTATGAAGACTGAATACCAGCGGTCACTACACAGCATTTCTTCACCGTTTGATGAAGAGTGAATGACGTTATATCAGCGGTACAAAGCATTTCTTCACTAAGTTGAGACCACATAACTCCACTCTTGTTTGAAATAAGCGTAGGGATTCTTTCAATGCCACTCAAGGCATTTTGTTGCGATAACAGAAATCTAAAAGTATTTATATCAGTAAATAATTGCGGAAATTTACTGCTTCTGCGATGTGTACATATTTCGTACCTCTTTGGTCCAGGAATGTTATACTAATTTATATCAGTTAATTGGTATAGCAGCCTAGCAGGTATTTCTCAATCTACATTTCTCGTGTAGAAATTTAGAACTCAAAGATCATTTAGTCCAAATACTAAGCAAAACCTCCTCTGACTAACAGTCTGTTTACAGGGCCTTGTATCAAGAAACATGTAGACAGCCTATCTGCAACCCTCAGCTGTCGGACAAGTTCTTATTTATAGAGCAGGCCGGAGCAAGCGGAAAGTGATGGCCAGTGGTCGGCCAGAGGCAATAAGCTCCGACCGACATATGGCAATTCATTGGCCACCTGAATGCCGCTCGTCTCCTCAGCAACAGAAATGTGGTTGCTAACGAGATTTAGAGGAGACAACGACCATCCCCGCAGTGTGACTTGTTTCACATGATTGCTCTGTTAATGGAACGTTCGAGAGTTCATGCTTAGCTGAATAACCGCTCGTAGATTAGTACAAACCTTTGGGATTTCTTCTCCATAGTCTTGTGTTGTTGGTTGAGCAGTTACTGCAAACCACGCCCATGTTCTTTCCAGTTACAGTCACCTGCCAATACAATACAATGTTCAAGCAATTACAAACGCGTCTCACTTCAAGGAATATTTTCAATGCGTAGCGAGAATAATCTCAGCCTTAGGGAAGGAAGCCTTTAAATTTCGGTACTTCCCTTAAATTTTCATCAAATTTACCAACAAGGCTTTAACTACCCAACGATTCAGTACGGCAATAGGACAAAATTGAATACCCTGGCATTATTGTTATACTATGCCAGTTATTTTTTTTATACGCATACATTAAAGATATTAAATACATATCTCATTTTCATTATTTAAATTTTTCATATCATGTTGTATACACAAAGAATTTTGTCTTCACAATTCGAAATAACTATACAATATTTGTTTTAAAATTATTTGGTTCCTTTATTTATGTCACAGCACCAGATACCAGACACCAAATTGAATTAGTTAAATTCAAGGTGAATTAGAATACCATTTTCAAATGCTGTGCTACCATTCAACTATCCAAAAACCTCTCTTGTGAGAGTTCAGTCACCGCTCCAATGGAAGTAACAAAGAGCAAGTTCAGTAAACAAGTAACTAGAAGGTTGTACAGAGGAATATACCTTGTCAGAAGACACGCCGTGCATGGGATGCCCTGACAAGGCGTTCCCCAGCAGAGGTAGGGCGTGGGAGGGCGGGGGACGGGACCAGTGAGCAGAGCTACCACCTGACGACACCTGAAATACAACAGACATTAAGAACTGAACGAAGCATAAACAGATATTAAGAACAGACGAAGCATAATCTAAAAAAACTGTTCGTTGAGAATTGGATACTACATTGCATTCATATACCTATCCTAAGTCTTAATTTGGTTCTGTGTGAATATTTGAAATCGATATTTTAGGCCATTGGTTCCCAAACAAAAACCCAGATCTAGGTGGAAAAACCCATCGCGGGGAGCCGTGTCAGTGCACGTGTTATGTACAAATGGTCAAACAAAAGTTCAAAATTCTGATTTCGACTTCGGACTGCCGCCTCCCAACCGCCCCTTCCTTCCTCGCCTCCCTCCCAGATCTTTCCACCGCCCCCAGGGGGCGGTACCCCCCACTGTTTTAGACTAAAGAAATTTCAAGTAAGGTTCTGAAGGCAGCAAAAAAGCACTCACGAGATGTGCGAGGTTGTGAGGAGGGAAGGCATTATGAGGAGAGCCTGGTCTGCCTAGGAAGGAGGAGAGCGGGTACGCCTGAACGCTTCCTGAAGGAGGGAACCGCGGCCTCAGCAATGTCTCCAGACCCATGGCCCCGAGGTGGGCGTCAGGAGCGCGGAACAGCGCTGAGCTCACGCACGGGGAAGAGGGGCGTGAGTACGAACGCTTTCTGCACACGCAAGTATGGGGTTAGAAAATTAGAGTTGCAAAAAAAAACATATGTATTTGTGATAGACAAGGGCCCTAGAGTAAATGATCATGTTCTTTAGTTCTCAGCCATTTCGTTTCATACCAAACTTTAGTATTTTCCACATGTAGAGCAATAATATATTAAGAAATTTTTAGTAGAAGTGTCGTGAACTTGTATCATGAAGATTCTATTAAGCTGAAATTTCAACATGTAACAAAAAGCATAAAGTAGCACCACAAACTACCTACCTAAGGTTGGGCTCGTTCTCTTCCCCATCAGAGAGATAGCCACTGTGTTGCTGGGAGTGATCATTGGGAGACCAGGCATTACTTTCCATGATCACTTCGGGGCTCTCACATATCGCTTCCTTTTTGGGCTAGGGAGATGGAGACAAAAATTTTAAGTAGGTGCGAAGTTAATAAATATTTTCACTTCTAAATTTCACTTTCTAATGAAAAATTCAGCTAGATTAAGTTGTGATGTACCACCATTATTTATAACCCTCTATTAATTGAAGAGTCAAGAGTTTTTACTAGCTTTCATTTGCCTAAGAGATTCAACAGATATAAACTTTATGTGGACAATAGGGAAATATCTTGCATATTGAAGAAAATGGGACATACCTGATGGGGAACTGGGCTAGTTGAGCGAGGTCGCTTCAGCATCATTTGTGAAGAGACACTCACAGAGGGCGCTAGGCCATTGGTAGGAGTTGCTGCAGTGTTGCTGGTGCATGCAAAAGAAGTGATGAGAGAGTTGATGGTGCTGTTAGTGGGGTAGTTCATCTTTGGAGAGTTGTTAGTGCTGGTAGAGACAGGTCGCAGAAGCTGAGGTAACACAGACAGTTGGTATAAGTTATTCCTAATTTGCAAAGCCATTTGCTGAGAGTGTTGATCGGTACGCAAGGAACTGCCAGGTCTATGTGCAGAAGCTGCTGGAAGGACACCATTGAGTGGCTTAAAAGAAGAGGTCTGCCAGTGATTCGGTTCGGGCGAGGCACTAGGAGAGTCTGGATTCTTCAGCATAGAGTTTGCCTCCAATTCTTCTTCATCTTCACTGTTGCTTGCACTGTTTTTGCTGTCATCTTGGACAAGTGTTGGGAGCAAATCTGTGAATTGAGCAAATATTATGAAATTTAAAAAAAGGTAACTACAAAGAGCAAGTAAACAATTTAAAATAGGATACAAATGATAAACTTAGACAAGCAGCAAGGGAATAAGATGAGAGATACCTACATTCTATATCAAATATAATATTGAACATAAATGCTTACAATATTTAAATAAAACTATGATTCGGTGTAAAAACCTATATAAATTTCATATGCCAGACCATGTTAACTTACCAGCAACTGCATTGTCTTTTATGTGAAGCAGGCCTTTTATTTGAAGCAGCCTTGCTGTTGACGTCAAGCTTGCCAATTCATTCTCTGGAATGTTCACCTGGAGAACATAAAACTCAGGGTTAGGACACAGTAGAACCTGAATACAATCTCACCAATTATTATTAGTGCAAAATTTTCCGCCAATTGAAATGGTAAACTATCCACTGAACATTGCATTTAAGAAAAAAATTGCAGTGTCACACAAAAAGTAGCAATGTTGCTCTAAAGAAAACACCTACAAGTTCAAATTGCTCTTGCTTGTAATCATGACACTGCATTGGTGATTAGAAAGGTAGAGCCTTCAGGAAATAGGCGATGCTTGAGCCTCACCTCTCCCATGTACATGAAATCGAGCAGAGCCGAGACAGCAGTTGCACTAACATCCTTCAGCATGACCATCATCATCTCCCCAGGTGTCTCTTGGAACATGGTCTTGAAGAAGTTGCTGCACGAGGCAAGCACCATTCTGTGTGCTGCCAATGTTCCTCCATTGCATACCAAATGAACGTCACAGAAAACCTCCTGAAAAAATGTGGTTGTTGTAAAGAAAATGCCTTACTTTGAAAATTAAAAGACAAATATAGCCAAAATGGAAAATATATTATATACAATATTTTTAACTTCAGTTGAAAGTAAATTTTCATCTATTGTTTGCTAATAAAACGGATAGTTTTATTATTTATAAAAATTTATTCAATATTCAGGCACCAAAATTGTGAAATAATTTTAAAATAAAATTGAATAATTCCAAGACTAAACAATTATGAGCAAAGAGTTCTAAATATTTTATAATAGAATTAAACCAAATAAACTATAACATGGAAAATGTAACATTTTGGAATACGTACATTATCACGTTGATCCTGGAGGCTCAAGAATACATCAGAATGACTATTTCTTTTTAAAGACAACTTATTAGACTCAGAGGTTAGTTTCTGTGAGCCCATGCTTCAGTAGTGCACAAATTTTTAATTGATATTTAACTGAATACATTTGCTCTGAGATAAATACAAAAACAAAGGCTGAAAATGGTTTAAAACACTATAGCATATATAGGTATAGATTATCACCCAAATAAAACAAATTCAAGTAATAGTATGTCATGAATATGGTTTTGTTTCCATGAATCCTCATATGCAGCTTGAAGCTTATAACTAGTGCAATACAATTTCCTGTGCCTGCCAAATGTGCAAGAAAGATTGAAAGACCAATCAGTAGTTGACAGTGCGTGAATTAAATAGCCGGTCAGCTCCTCTTATCTGAATATTCATGCTAGTTTTAATTTGACATAAATTATAGAACTTGATTGTTTATTGACTTCCTCTAATACAACACAAAAATTGTCAATTCTCTGGCATTTATATATAATTATTCAACAACTCCAATGCATTTCTTTGCAGCAATTATTACACCAAAGGTACACCAATTTTCAGCCTATTCAAAGACCAGCATGAATGATAGATGCTAATAATAATTGCAAGGTTTGCTGAGGTTGATGCACTAACGTTTGAACTTTCAAGATAATTCAAGTAAAAATAATTTGAATAGCACTGGCGAGTGTGAATGAGCATCATTGTCTGCTTATAAACAGTGGACAACACTGGACATGTTATTAAATAAGCACTGAATTGCATTTGTTGCAGGAAAGCATTTTTCAGGATAATTTTTCCAAACTGTTTCCAATGAGACTTCTTTGCAACCACTTCTCAAGGCACTGCTCACAAATAGAAACAACACGTCTTAAAAACACTCCCTCAGACCAGAATATTTGGTAAATAATATTAAAAACAGCAACTGAAAAAATGATGCTAACATCCATTTAGTGCAGCTAAAGCAATAATACATTTACTGTCCAATAGACTGGATCAAAGAAACAAATTTTTTGGGAAATTTTCTATAGATCCAACTATAATTTTCCAAGTGGATCTCTAAAAGTTTACCTATGTACACCAACCAGTTAGTTGAAGTAGACAAGTTCATCACCTACATGGTGCCATTTCAAAGTAAACATAATCTTGGCTATGGGATACTGGTACTATGAGTCATGATCTAGGGCAGGGACCTCCAAACTTTTAATCTTGGCTATGGGATACTGGTACTATGAGCCATGATCTAGGGCAGGGACCTCCAAACTTTTAATCTTGGCTATGGGTTACTGGTACTATGAGCCATGATCTAGGGCAGGGACCTCCAAACTTTTTTCACCAAGGGCTAAGAGCAAGCTTTCTGAAACCTTCGCAAGCCAGTCATGCCCATTTACTGTTTTTAGTTCATGCGTAGCCAGAAATAAATGCCAGCTGAACTTATGTACACATTATGTTGAACTACAAGATCTTGGTGGGCCAGATGGAACCTAGCCATCGGCCAGATTCGGCCAGCAGGCAGTAGTTTGGACTTTGGAGACCCCTGATCTAGGGACACCCTGTTCCCACAGCCAGGCAAGGAGTCTCTACTTTTTGATCCATGACTAGAGCTTTCCTGCCATTCCTGGAGCTTAGAGATTCCAGCAAGAATTACCTCCTATGTCCTACCAAATTGCCAACAAAACTGCATGATCAAATATTATTCACTGTCTGTCTGCTGTTCCGAAGTCTGTTGATCTATATAAACTTTCAGGAGACATAAAAATGTTCCTTAATTGAAAATGTGTTATGAAGCCAGATGATTAACCCAGAACTATCCACCCCAAGCAGTATGTAATTTGAGGAGACCTTCATATCAACATTAAACAATGAATATCTTGGAAAAAGGTTTGGTCAATATAGAAGCACACAACACACCCATTTCTCACAAGGATCTTCATTACACTCAGTTAGCTGTTCAACAATTTCTTTACTCCAAGTTTAAAATCCCTCTGCAAGTCTCCAATCACATCTGCAAAAGCCTTGTCTCACCTTACTTTACAATTCATGTTAACAAAATCAAAACACAGAAATCATTTCACCAACTTTCAACTTAATTACCGTAGAAAAAAGATAAGTTTTACAGTTAGGAAAAAATGTTAAAGAAGTTAATGCTGAAATAAAATACTTTTAAAAAACTCTTTAAAAAACCACGTTTTTCTTGTGGACTAAAAAGTAGAAAATAAATTATGGCTCGCCCCAAAAAACATGTGTCGGGCAGATTTATGATTAAAGCAAAAAGCACACAACATAAGTTTTTTTCAAGTATTTTATTTTCTCCTTTTTAGTCCGTTGCTACACATGAAAAACATTGTTGCGAGCCAATTTACTTGCCTTGACGTACATATCGATGATACGCAGCGTAAGCGCCTGCTCATCTATAACGTCAGCGCCCGCACGTCATACTATATATATACTATTTATATATACTTTACTCAATTAAGCTAATTTAGGTCTCTAATTGCTAGTTTTTATGATTGTATCTGAAATTGTTAGGCAAAAATAGCCTGCATGCCGAATTTCAGATCTCTAGACCTAGAGCAATCAGAAGTGGGCTAATTTTTGTTGTCAATGTTAACAACAAACAAACGCGAAGCTAAGCTAAGAAAAACGTGTTAAAAACACAAGCAACACTCTAAAGTTGCCATGTAATAAGCATTCAAAACTTGCAAATTATTTGCGATTGTTAAGCAAAACTAACATTTATTTCTAGCCTTATCTCAAAACTGTTCAACATTTTGTTATGTGATTTCTAACAAATTAACTTAGTTTATTTTGTTATATGTACCTATTATTGATAAGTGATAACATTAATTTGTCAAATCAGTTGTTCAAATTTGTTGAATCAATTGTTAAAAATTCTTTCCTTAAGGCTGTTAGCTCTATCACTATGATCATTCAATGATAGCAACTGATTGAATTCTGTGGTTTTAATAAATACCTTGAAGATAAAAAAATTGACAATTGCATGGGAATCTCCTACCAAATCTGAACAAATCCTTTTCTTGCTCAATTGATTGAGAATCTTTAATTTTTTGGTTTAGGGCCTTAAATACCCTCTCAGGCAGGGCTGGAAAAGTCCTATGTTTTTCTGAAATACCACAGCTCTAATATCATATAATTTCAGTAGGTATGAAATTTTGTGGCTCTAATCATAGACTAATGTCATAACTTTTTGTTTGATTGAAAAAATTGCGGTTTGCACTCTGCAAACGTGTCGTTTCATAAAATTTTCAACTTCCACAATACACAGTATATATTCTTCAATGCTACCAGCCTCCTGCAGTCCTGCCTTCCAACAAAATAACATGCAGAACGTAATAACATCAACAACAAGTCAACCCAAAAAGTTTCCTTAAAGATTGCGTAGTTATGGTCACATCAGAGCGGTCAGACTGCATATCACTTGTTCAGCTGCCAGCCTGCCACTTAAGTGAAGACAATTTTAGTGACTGTTTTTAGGGTAAATTAGAAATGTGGGCGAACACGTGCATGGGACTTTGTAACTAATAAGTTTGCGGCTCGTAAATGGCTTTTTCATGGCCAAGATATGGAATTCACGGCTTGAAGAAATGGAATCATGTCTGGCAGACTGGCAAACCCACAAAACCACAGCTCAAAAAATTCATTCATGTCTTGCCAAATGCCAAGTACTCAAGTAGATATAGGTATTTTATGCCTGCACTCAGGACAGGCTTTAAACTTATCTACCTGTCACATCTACAGTCAAGATGCAACTACAGCTTTACTGCCACATTTGGATCAGCAAGATTCCAATTAGATGAATTAGCCTATGTCCTGCACCTGCAGTCCCACCTGATTGTCAACAAAAGTTGACAAACATGCCATGAGAATGAGATTTCAAATGTATTGAAAACTTGTCACTTTCAGTTTCAAGCTGTGCAATTTCAGTACGGTAATAAGTACCTAGAAAAATTCCAATCCTGTAATAAGGACATATGGCTTGTGCCAGTTTTTTTAGCTTGGGCTCTATACTGCTCTAGAATCTAGATAGTAGGTATCTGGATATATTTTTGTTTTTTTTTGTCACCTGTCAGGTTTTTTCAATGAATAAATTTCAACAAGTTGGTATTGATGCAATGTAGTATTTTGCAATTGCAACTTGTAAGGTAACTCACTAACTGGTTGGCGACTTGGCGTAATCGCCCTAAGTTAAACAACAGCACATGATCTACTTATTCTAGGCCTACTACAAGGAATGATGGTGACTTAGTGAGTAGGTAGCCAGTAGCCTAGTCAGTAGGTACAGTTCGTTTTTACATTTAAGTTATGTGATCTAGCTAGCAAAGAAGAATAATGAGTATCAATTTAATATGTTTTCTACGATTTCATTCGAATAAGGGAATGAATATCAATAAATATTAGTAATTGTACAAATTTTCATCAGGGGTTAACAAACAATAAACGCGGCACTGATCGCAGAGCACGTTCTGTAGACTGTAGTCAATAACACACCACATTCCTGACCAAAAAATAGTGTATTCCATTAAATATTCTGGATTTATTCTAGAATTTATCTAATCAGTAAATATTTTTGAATTTGATAACACCCTATCTAATAAAATGTGAAGTATTTCAAGGTTAAATAAGCCAGAATCCTTGTTACACATTCACGCGCTGCACGACTATCGCTGTCTTATCATTATCTGGATAGAGAGCATGTAGCTCCGCCATTTCTCTGACATATTTGCTACGTTCTGATGTTCGCATACGACTTACTCGTGGTTCTAATGCAAAATAAGCGTAGAAAATATCGATTAAATTCGAATTATCTATTCTTAGGAATCATTTTGTTATAAAATTTAAGCAATTTAATATCAAAAAACTTTATTATGTCGTAATTTTTTTCATTTTCAACTGCCAATTCGAAGCCTAAGTCATTTCTTCTGACAAGAATAAACCAAAAAACAGGAGAGTGGAATGTAATGCTTCATTATCTTTTTGTGCGTTTTCAACAATATTCACATCCTTGAAGTATCAATGTGAAAGACGAATCAAGAACTCTGAGTTTTCTTTAAAATAGTGTCTGTAATTTTTACGGCACACAATAGATGTAATTGCAAGTAGATCTCCAAGAAATATTATCTAGTGCATGTCAAGGTTCGCTTACGACATCGATGTTATGT